CGTACCCTGGCGTCCCGGGGCTCGTCCCCCGCCGGCTGCCGCTGCTGGAGGAGCCGCGCCGCAGCTGTGGCCTCTTCGGCCCCTCTCCTTGTCGCCACGCTAAGCAACGCGAAGGAAAATGTCCACCCCCGCTCCTTCCCCCCGCCCCGCCCGGCGGGTCGCAGGTGGGTTGGGTAGGGAAGGGCCGGGCGGCGGCGGGACCGAGGGGCTGGGCTCGCTCCCCGGCCTGGCCTGCCCGGCCGCCCCGGGAGACACTGCTTCGGCGGGCGGGCACCGGGCGGAGACGCTACTTCTGAGGCGACCTAGGTGCGGCGGCAGCAGGCCAGGCCGGGCCGGGCCGGGCCGGGCCGGGCCGGGCCGGGGCCCCTGGCCGGGCGGCCGCCGGGGCCGGGAGAACTCGCAGCCCGTTTCCCCGGGCGGAGCGGAGCGGCCCGAGGGCCCCCCCTGGCGGCACCGGCCCGGGCCTGGCCCCGCAGCCCCTCCGCGCCCCGCCCGGCCTCCCCGCTGAGGGGGGAACCGGGGCGGGCCCCGAGGCGTCTCGGCGAGATTTCTCCCTTCCATCCTGAGCCGCCTTCCCCGGCGGAGAAACTTCCACCCTCCCTGGAGGGGGCCGGCGGCGCCCAGCGCGTCGTCCAGGCACGGCGTCCATCACTCCTTGGAGAGAGAAACCCGCAGTCATCACCCCTGACGCCGAGGAGGGGTGGAGGTCCTCACAAGCCCTGCACTGTCTACGATTGTACTTCACGGAATTATTAACCCGAATAAACTTCTAAACCGCCTTGCGAGACGCTGCTCGCATCGGCTTTCTCTAGCGCGCGTAACAGCCGTGGCTGGGGCGTGAGATGTGTAAGGAGCGAGGGCACCTGCTTGGGATAACCACATACTCGATAGGGAGGAAGAGACTTTTCAGATAACTTCAAGGTTAATTTAAGACTTAGCCGCACAATCTACACTTTGAATAATACATGAATTGCAACGATTCCACCAGGATAGGGTGCCCGGGAAGTGATTTACCTTCACCCTGGTCCTATCATCCTATTTTAATCTCCAGAACAGAAGCCCCAGATTTGCTGCTTCCCCCAACAAAGAAACGTGCTGCAACGGCGCCATCCGTATAGACACACCGCTGCACGTTTTGGTCTCCAGTAAGAGACCTCAGAGATAAGGAATTGAAACTCACAGTCTGTACATCACAAACTCAGCAGTAGAAAACTCTTTTTTTTTTTTTTTTTTTTTTTTTTTCTTTGAAGTCGGTCAGCTCTTCTGGTAAGTGCAAGGCAATTCCTCCCTTGCAGAAATACATCGGGGCTGATGGCAGCTGTCAGCTCCTCTCCTGTCACTGGATAAACTGTTTTGTGCTTTGTCCATCTGTCAGTCCCACAGTCTCTCCAGCCATTGAGAGTGCCAGAAGAGATTGCTGTGTTGGAGGGATAGAGACCACGGTCTGAGCTCATCCCTTGTCCCCACAAAAATCAGAAGGAAGGATCAAATGTTTTAAATTCTTGAGGAGAAGCAGCAATGATCCTCATGTGCCGATGACATCAGTGGCAACAGCACGGCAGTAGAGATTCCTGAAGGCCATCACTTCACATTTAAACACTGGAAAAGTGGAGACATGAAGGAAAGAAAGATGGTCTTGAGAAGAGCTTTATTTTGGCCAGCAAAGGTTAATTTCACAGACTTCTCAGAAACAGATCTGCCAAGCATCAGGTATGTAGTAGCCAAAACCAGTTACTTGTAAGAGGCAGCAGGATGGAACCAAGACGTACAGAGGGCATCCAAGCCTCGTGTGCCATATTAACTTTTAAAACAGTGGGATAGAAGTAGGGTCTCCCCTACAACAAGTACTGTGTGAGGGACATCTAAGCAGTGTCCCCTCTTCAGACAGGGCCAGTTTGCTGAAGCTCCACAGGCTTGATAGTCAAGTGAAACCCTGTAATCCATCACCTCCATTCAATGCCACTGTTTCAAAAGGCATTTATTAATTTCTAGCAACTCCGCGGCATATTCTGCTCTTCATGTGTCAGGACTTTGGGTCTGCACCATCGTTACTACACTAAGAATAGCGTTCTGGGAGTCTTAATCCCCACTAAAACCAACTGGAAGAGCTATGGTTTGCCAGGGCAGGGATGGCACTAAGTAAAGTTTCTGTCCTTTTAAGTTGCTGTTATCTTGATCAAATTCACCACCACACAAACTGGCTTTGTGCTGGGGGAACAAATGCAGATCATGGCACTTTGCACTGAAGGGACAGCTGCACACATGCATGTGGGGAGAGGAACTTTCAGGAACTAAAGCAGCTCTATAAAGACACGCGAGAGACCGGATCATGGTACCGAACATACATTTGCAAAACTGTTGCATTTATCAGAGACTTGAAAGCAGCAAATTCAGCCCCAAGGCACCCCAAGGGGATGCATCAGTGATGGGGGTACAGATGCTTTCTCTCCCCTTACCACTTCGCTAGCAAAACCAGGGTGACGGAAATAACAGATGACCCTGGTGATTCTCGGTTTAAGGCATAGTCCTATCCCATCCTTCACCACTTTCAGGGTCAGTGGTAACTTTAGGGAGCTTGTCACCACTTGCTTGGTCTTCCAGGAGTCAGTAGAGGCTTCCTCTCCTTGGCATGAAGGCTGGAGATGAGCAGCTGCTACCAGGGAAGTGCTGGAGACATGACCGCATGGGAATCAAGGGTAACAAGGAAGGCACAGAGAAGATGAAATATCCATAGCTCTAGATGATGAAATATTTTAAAAGTATCTGTTGATACTGCTCACCTTTATATCTTGCACAGTATAGACACTATATGAATTGTATCCCTTCCCCAAATTCCTCCTCACTTCCTGGCCCGGCACTACCTCCAAGCAATTTTAGTTCCTTTTTATGAAAAAGGAGCACTGCAGCCCCATCACTGTGATCTTCCTGTGTTTTACACACCAAACTCATTACCCTGCATTGCTTCGGTACAGTATTATCTGAATGTATACATTAAAATCCCTGACCCGAATGGATCCTGTGTAGTCTATCGCAGGAATACATATCTGAGCTCTGGGTAGCATTGCCATATGCAGTGTAGGGAACCTTCCATATGGTTTCTGAAAAGTGGTTACAGCACACGTGCACCAGGCACTTTTCAAAGTAAAACAGATCTGTTCATTTTTATTTTCAAAATACCAAAGCAGTAAAATCATGTAATTGAGTAATCACTTGCCAAATTTCCTTTTTTAATCTAATCTATTTTGAATTACATCAGAGCCAAAATGCAAATTAAACTGGTAAGGTTCCAAGATTTCTTTTTTCCCTTTTAGAAAACACAATTTAAGGTACTCATAAGTAAGGATATTTTAAAAACCATTTGTTTTGTATGCTGTAAACTTTGGAAAACAAGTTTCAGCCTGAAGTAAATTTTCATAGGTAATAGGTTAAATAGAAGTCTTACGTAAATTTTGATCTCTTCTTAACCACTCCAATTTTCATTTTATAAAATTCAATTTGAAAATAATACCATTGTTTTAAAAGAGGCTCAAAGGGTCAGAAACCAGGCAAAAAAAGTATCCGCTCTAACAAGGCACAGGCACAGCCATTCAGCTCTAACGTATCAAAAAAGGACAGATTCCTGAGATTGCTCATTTGCAGTCTCCATCAATTCATTTTTTTGGAGGGTGGCTGTTGCAGCAGCATTAAAATCCGAACTCACTCGCCAGCCTGGGCAAACTCGTCAGCACTTGACCACGAAGCGAGACAGATCCTCGCTATCCTACCACAGCCTCACAAAGTCACACAGCTCAGCAGATTAACAAACCGATAGATAAAAGTGGCCTTCCAGAGTACCCGCTGCTGGAAACCTTTGCTCTTTGGGTTGCAGTTGTTCAGATTAAGTCTCTCCCTACCCCCAGGCAGACCTTGCGGAAAGCCGTGTGACCTCGTGGGTTGCCTCCTACCACGGTGCTGCCATCCGTTGCAAAAACTGGCACCCACTCAAGTCACGGCTGTTTTCATGGTGCTTGTCTTTTCTCCCCTAAAGCTCCTTCCTCAAACTGGGATCTGCTCCTGACACCTCCCAGCCCCTTTTGTAAGGCTGCAAAGGCACAACTGACCCTGTTCATTTTAAAATACTTTAAAGTGCCCAGTTCATATTTACCCCTGACACTATGTTGAAAGAGAACTCTTAAAGGAAGAGACTGGCCAATCCTGAGCGTGCAAAGTGCAGCCGAAGACATACAGGAGAGAGAGATGGAGGAGTTAAAAGGCCGATGATAGTTTGCAAAAGACCAACTGACCTTGCAGCTGCCCTTCTAAAGGGGATCTTGCTCCTCTTCAATGTGCCTTTTCTACCCCATCCCCAGCAGTGCCACTGGTACTCATCAAATCCTGATGACCTGGTTCAGTGAGCTAAAACCATTGAGAATGAACTTGGTTTTCCTTCTGCTGCTGCTAGAGGCTGGTTTTTCCACCAAGTTTAACTCCTCAACTCCATCTCACTTAAACTGCTAGGTGACAGCCATTGTCAGGTCAAGGGAAGCCAGAGCAGCGTGCAGTCAGGGGAACAGGGACACTCTTTTTTTGGCAGCTAACAGCCCAAACTAGCTGCAATGTCACACCACACCCTCAGGTCTCCGATGGCTAGGGAGACTGAACACACAGTAGAGAGGGCAAAGGAGAGACAGGAAAAGTGCGAAATCAAAACAGACCAAGGATAAAGAGAATAAGCATACTAGATGCAAAGTAGGGGCTGGACTGTGAGCGTTGATCGTGGGAACAGATGGAGAGATAGAGAAATGACACCCATTACACTCAAAATCATATGTATGAGAGAGCGGGGAGAGGGGAGGGCAGAGACCGAGCGTGGTGGGAGAGATGGAATTTGCAAGACACGAAAAAGATCTGCAGAAAATAATGGTGTAAGAAAAACTGGAATCAGAACTTACTGTTCACTGGAAAATCACAGTCTAGTTGTATCAGCGCAGCTAGGAAAGAACGATCCTTTGAAAAACAGCTTAATACTTTCTCTTTTAATGTTTAACATTTGCAAGGATCACCTGCTCTTTATACATTGCATAGTCGCACAAAAAGAGCTAAAAGGTACAGCATAACATCAGCTTTGGCCAGCCCAATAAACATTTATTGTGTCAACTTGAGGCATAACATTGCACAGAATAAACTAGAGCCAAATCAAATAAAATATTCTTCCAGTTCTGTAGAGGATCGAGATGCAAACAAGAAGATTTTGATACTTCCATGGCTCTCCACTGGCACAGGAACCAGAAAGGAATATTCATTAGATTTGACTATAAATGTTTGTCTTGTGTGGGAGGCCTTAGTATAGTAATATGTATTAGAAACTTGATATTTTTCCAATCAAGCCTTTCCACTTCCATTTACATATATTTAATGGTAAATATTAATTTTCCTACCTGAAGCACTTTACATAAACGTACAATAAACACATTGTACACAGAAGGGGAGCAAATAGCTTAGGGGACTTGTGATAAGCCCTAGAACTGCTCCAGCCTCCACATTGCTGGTCGGGAACAACACAAGATGATCCCTCTGCACAGATTGTGGGGGGGTTTCCTAGACTGAGTTGGTGATCTCATCCTCATTCCTCCTGAACCCGGATCCTCCCCCCTCAACCAGTAAATTGTAATTGATGCCAACTGGAATCTGTGCCAGTAGAAAAGGTGACAGATAGCAAGGAGATGCCCTCTCACATGTAGAAGTGGATTGCTTCAGATGACAACCAACTTCAGTTTGCAGTTGTGTCAACACACACTTATCTTTCCCGAGCACCGAAATGTGTGGGCAATAGTATAGTCTGCAACTGCAGCTTCGCTTAACACAGAACCACATAATGCACAGAAACTCTCAGGTGAGCTGTCTTCCTTCGCCCTCAATGGAACAGTGCTGCTCACCACTGGGGAACACGCTTCAGCCCCTTGCAGGGGGGAGGCAGGAGGGGGCCCGGAGCTGCCATCGCCCTCCCCAAGAACTCCTGGGGTACGCGGCAGCTCTCGGCGGGCACAAGCCTGCACCGAAGCCTTGGGCGTACCGCAGGGGGGCTGCTGTCCCCTGCCATCCCCTAACGCACAGCTGATGTAGGGTGCAGCCTGAGTTCCTCATATGTATGCAGGAGCCCATTTGTGACAGAAAAACTTACACCCCCCCCCCCCCCCCCCCCCCCCGCCCCCCCGGAAAGCACGTTTTAGAAAAGGAGAAAGAAAAAGTTTTCCAGCCAGGATGCACTGATCGAAGACAACTGAAAGAAGGCTGGAAGCTATTCTTTCAAGATGAGGTTATGAAACCACATTGATAAAATGAGTAACTGTGTGAATAAGCATGAAAAAAGCAAGTCTTATCAGCTAGTCTCTTAGAAGAGGTAAGTTAGGAAAGAGAGATAGGCTTTCAGATACTCAAACCACTCTTCAGGCATGATCCAGAGGCAGTAAGATTCAAGCTAGAGTACAGGTAAGTATGAAGCTTTGTAAATTAGTCATACTTGAAGTCTCCCCCAGAAGATATCCAGTACTGAATTAAGTGACATCTTGAATATTATTGTACTCATAGGTGACCTACTGCTACAGTATGCATTAATGATTTAGTAACATAAAATTGGTGAGTGTTGGCTACAAAAGAACGCTAATAGACCTGGGTAGATGTGCATGTCCTTGGTACCACTTACCATGAGAAAGTGATACTTAATTGCTACAGTTACACTAATAGCAAAGTTAAAATTTTATTTTCAAATCATTGGGTTCAATGGCAAACAGAGGATAATGCTACCTGTTGATTTACAGGGCAATCTGAAACAGATTAGGAGACAACATCTTATGCTTCATATTTACACTCAGGTTAACTATGAATTCATGTTATGAATTGTTGTAGAGTATATTTATAGGGTGAAATTAAAATACCATTTACCTTAATACTGACCGATTGAAGTCAGAGGGACTGCAGGAAGAAAGAAAATACTTCTGGAGAATAAAACAAAGAGCGTGCCTATTCTGAAAGTAACACAGAGGTTTTTCTGCATATATTAAAACTTCTATCGTGATGGATCATAAACTGTAAAGCAGTTCTTGTATCTATTAGAAGATTCTATTTTATGTGCGAATTTTATGTCTTATACATGAGGACAGATAGAGCTCTTCTACTGCATTATTGGAGACTTATCAAAAACAGGATACTTTTTTCTTGAGAAGATGAAAAGCACAGAGATAAGCAGGGAAATAAAGACGAAAGTTTTAACCAATAATATTTTTGTGTGGTTATCAGAGGAATGTAATAATTAATCTTTTAATCATTCTGAAGATTGTGTGAAATCATAATATCTCATCTTTTCCAGCCTCAACCTGCCATTCTTGATCTGAATTACAAACAATAAGAAAGGAGATGATTTAATGAGCAACTTTGTCATGTTGCCATTTTGCCTTAGTCAAAGGGAAATATCTAGTTTTGCCTCTAAACTAAAATGGAATAGACTTATGTTTCAACTATGCTCACAACTGAGGCAAACATGAATAGAAAAGTTAGGGCTATTTTAAAGCTAGAACCCCAGTGTCTTCACATTTTCACAGAGATAATTAAATGCATACTGTTAAGAAGAAACAAACATTCATTTACTAGAAAATAAAATCCACGTTGTGAAGAAACACACATGTATGAGAAGTCTAAAATTTGACGAATACTAAACTAAATCCAAAAAGAAAGATTTCAGTCACAATGGCAATAGGTATGTTCTTATTACGAAGGAAAAAAAAAGTCAGCATGATTTAATCGTACTCAATAAATAGGCACTTCAACAAAGTATATATTTACACTGGCTTTCTGAATGCTAGGGCATCACAAAGTAGTATGGCTTTATTACAATGGATGGAAGATGGCAACTACTTAGAACCCAGTGCCAACATGGATTATAACAAATCCAGTGAGTATTTTGTTTTTCAATTATTCATAGAAAATTTAATCCTGATTAAGTATCCTTGGGCAGGAATTCATGGGTAGTTGATGACTGAAACCAACATTTATTTGAAATGCTTCTGTTAATTTAATCTGTGTATATGGCTTAATTATGATTGAATCCTCAATGTAACAGAAATGAATTATATCAGGATTAAAATTCTAGTACCACATCACCCATTCCATTTTCTTTGCCCCTTTTTTTTTTTTCTTTAAAAGATGCAAGCCTGCTGTTTTCATTACCTTTATGTTGCTGTGTTTTCTAAGCCTCCAATACAGCTCATTAGTGGATGAAATTTTTAGTTACATTTATTTATTTACAAAAAAGAAAAAAAAAGGCAGATAAGGCAGATATAAACCCTATTTTCATTCCCATTAAAATTTTAACCAGCATGAACATTAGTTGCAAAAAAGGCTTTTCTTTTACACCAGTAATAAAGGACAGTTTCTCGTGGTCAGTTGTGAACATTTTACATGTGTTTTCTAGAGGACTCTTTTTTTTTTCCCCTTCTTTTATACTTGTACATAAAATGCATTTTCTCTAAAGCATAAAAATAAAAGAACTTGTACTCATCGTTACGCATCACACCAATTTCACAACTGGCCTATTTCAGACTTGTTTGAGCTTGTAGATGTTTTAAGAACTGCATTTTATAACACCTTCAAACCTGGTATTGATATAAAGCGAGGACATTTTTTTGTGTCTGTGAATGGGAGAGAAAAGATTCATTGTACTTTTCCATGATACAGCTCAGTACCACATGCTACACATAAACAATATCTATAAAATTATCCAAATGATGGATTTTTCCACTCCACAGTACTTTTAACAGATTAATCTAGGATCCTCGTCAGACCAGGTCTGTGACCAGGTCTGTGAAGTGCTCTGATATTATTACTCAGTTTTCCAGTGAAACCAATGTATCACACACCTGTGACAAAAATACCTGTATATTTATGTCATTATTGCACATTTATTACATAATGTATTCTTCCTAAACATCTCAGAAGTGATGTCGATTTTTATGTCCAGAGGATACTGTTAGTGGCAACGTCACTGATGACAGCGAAGACACTTCCCAATATAGACTATGAGATAGAAAAAGTCTGTAGAGGATAACCATGGAGATGCACTGACAGAGGATAACACCTATGGTAATAATCTAGAGGCAAAAAAGAGAGAAAATTAAAAAGTAAGCAAAAAAAACCCCACCACCAAACAACCACAATAAATTTCTATCAGCATACTGTGTAAGTGCTTGAGGTTTAACTTTAAAGCTTTTAATACTGCTGCAGTTACAGAAGATTCGAACATGAATCTCAAGTCCAGGATTCAGACTCTCACACCTGGGTGTTTTTAAATCACTAGATAGCCCTGGGCAAGTCACATAAGCCTTCTGGCAGTTTCTGTTCTGGGGAATTTCAGACTTGCAATTCACCACCCATGCAGTTTCACAAGCAGAGGTGATGTTTAGATATTATATTCTTACAACAAACAGTGTGTAAAAAAACAAAGCCTGGAAACACTTTGCACTAGCACAGTCATGGAGCTGTAAGGATAGCGATTTATCACTCTCACTTAGCCAGACCTCTTTTTTTTAGTGCAAGTCTCTTCATCTGTGAAAGATGTGTAAAGTATCAACTGTGTAAAGGTAGCTACTGTTTCTGAGAAAGCAAAAGTCTAAGTTTATGTATAGAGAGTCTTTTAAAATACATGTTTTTCTTAAATAAATATGGTATTTATTGATCATGCACTTTACTGTATTGAAGTGCATTTAAAGAAGGAAACAACTAAATTATCATGAAGTAGGAACTGTAGCTGCACATAATGGTTAAACTTGTTCAAATGCAAGAGCAGAACTATTGTACTCTCCCTTCAGTAAGCTCAAAATCTCAAAATATTGCAAAAATTTCCTTTACTGATTCGACCTCTAGAGATTGTCCTCCTGCCCTGATGATGTTTTCATCAAGCAACAACAAAAAGTCTCTTCAATAGCAGCTCTAGGAGTCTTTTTTTATCCCTAGATTTTTCTTTTCTTTTTCTTTTTTTTTTTTTTTTTTTTTAATCAAATGTAACATTTCATTTACTATGTATTTTTAGTGGAACTTTTTCTTTCCCTTACGTATCCTCTACACAAATAAAAGCTCAATTTCTGAAAATATTTGCATAGAAATGCACAGATGGTTATAGCCATAAAAAAAAAAACAAACTCTACCCTGGAATGAGGTAGTCAATCACCTGAGAATAGTAGTGCACTTTATCTGAACATGGCAGGCTCCACACTCTAGTTCTCTAGTTCCCAATATGTTTAAGCAATCGAGAAGCCCGGTGAGTCCACCTTTGTTTTTAACTGCTCAGGGCTAACAAACCAAACTACATATTTGGACAGAATTCTTAATCTAAAGAATACAGTTCAGGTACAGGTTCCCTGACCTATTTAGCCACATAAAGCTTTTAAAGGGTGAAGACTAAAAAGTAAACAACAAAATAAATTCACTGATTTATCTTTCTACTAGCTTTGTTAAAAGAATCCCCAAGGTGTTTTTAATTAAAAAACAAACAAGCAAACAATAAAACAAAACACCCCCTCCACATTTTCCTTTGACTTAACAATCTCCCCCTCTCCCTCCCTTAACCTAGGAATGATTACCCTTAGATGATTCAAACCCCGTATGCCTTTGTAAAATATGACTCACATTAGCATCAATGAGAGCTGTGTGACTAAGACTTTTCAAGTTGCTTTGGGGTCATAAGATTAACAGCCTAAGAGCATGAGTTTGCTAACAAACACTGAACATGCAGAACAACTACTATTCAAATTCCATCTCTTTTATCTTGCCTGTACATACCTTTTCTCTTTGATATTCTCTGAATATTACAGCAATGGTTGCAAGACATGGGTGGCACAAAAACCAGAGAATGCAGGCCTGAAAGAGAAGATGAGTAGAAGTTATAAAATGACTACATGCCAGCTTAGAAGAAAGAGATGACAGTTAGAGGAACTGCATTTACATTTCTGTCTATTTTATGAACCCATTGTTTAATTTTCAATCAACAGAACGAAAACCACACAAAGAAAGGTGGGATTTCTGTTTAAAAAAGCTCTATACTCCTTGTCAAATTAAAATGACTACTCAGAGTACGATGACAGGGTGCAATTTAATCAAATCAGACACTTAAATGTTAACTTTCTTATGGAGGAAAAGAGTTTAGTGCTTCAGTCAACTGCATGCCATGATTATATTTACAGCAGAAGGGATCAGTTTCCCTGGTGTAACCCATACTTTGGCAAAGGTGATATAGAACTCCCTTTTCAGTGTGCTTCTCTCCACTGTGATGATCTGGTAAAGACCAGCAGCCAGTGACAAAGCTAGGCAAACTCTGAGGCCAATAAGCAGTCCACTTGCTAAGCCATGGTGTGAATGGTAGCTGTGGTGATTCGTATCTTCAAACTGCTCCCAAATTAATAAAAAGCTCTGGAAAAGAACAACAACAGCACAAGGTTACACTAAATCTCAACTACCCTTTCCATCACAGATTAAATTATCCACACAACCGGTCATGCTCTATTCTGCCTGTTGGAGACCACCATGTTACACAAAAACACCCTAGCCTGAACTGCTTTTTGGCACTAGCTATTACTCCAAGTGCAACTGGCAAGTCTCGCTTCTTGTATTCCGTAACTTTCAGAAAGTTTGATAAGTTAAAGTTTCCTCTAATTTGGACAGAAGGAATGTGGCACCTTAGCATAAGATCCAAAATAATCATCTAGTTAAACAGTCGGCCTACTCAGCAGGAAGCCCACTGAAACGATTCCACAGAACAACAGGGAGGTGTCTCCTTCCACTTGGGATCCACAACCTGTAAAGCTTGTTTCAAAGGCAGGAGACTACGCCTTTTCTTTCAAAATCCTAACAGGATTCACTTTTCTTTTCAAAGATGGGGAAGTAAGAGGGTGGTGCTGCTGCCCCTTTTATACAATAGCCTAAAGGCTCAAGCGTTCACCCAGGTTGAACTTGGATCTCCCACAATTCCCTTCTTTGCCTACAGGATATCCAACTCGCATCTCCCACCTCCTTGGAGAGTGCCGCAACTGCCAGGCTATAGGCTGTTCTTGGGTGGGCCACTCTCCACCCCTTCTATTGAAGCTGTGCCATTGTGGAGGAAAGAATTCAAGATCAGCTAGGTCAGAAACTGCGAGCGAACCTGACTCTGCAAGCAAGCGGCTCAGAAACCTCCTAGGGTCTACAAAAGGGAGCGTCACAGGTTCCAAATGCTGTTCCGACATCTGGACAAATGCTCTAGCCAACAGATAACTACATGAAAGATAGTAATCCTCCTTAACTGCACTGCATCCATTTGCTGCAGAATCCAATTCTGTAGCAGTACTGTGAGCAAGAATATTGATAGATTCTCCAAGGAAAAACAGACTAAGAAGTGCCTAGATTCTGAATCTTAGTTAGCTAGAAGGCAGGCGCCTACTTGCTGCATAAAAAAAAAAGTGGGTCTTGCTGAAGAGTATCTTTTTAAGACTTTGGGAATGTTAACGTTATAAATTAGAATGCCCATAAAGTTTAGGTTCTCCTGGCATCACGTATCAGCTGCATGGCATTTTAAGATTTGAATATACACTGGAATCCAGTCCACCTACTGCACACATCTAACTTGCGCTTAGGTTTCAGGTGCCTAATGAAGCAGGCTTTCTGAAGAAAGGTAGGCAAATTTGATTTATATGAGTGAGGTAGCTCTGAAGGCCTTCAGAAACAGACATTGTATGCCTCAATTTAGAAATCTAAATTAGTCAGATTCCTTTCTGAACACATTCAAAGGCTCTCTCACTACATTAACTACATAAAGACAAAAAGGCTACTGAGAATAATTTTTTTTTTTTTAAAAGACATGTAATCCACCTGTGCCTTTCAAAGGTGAGTGTCCTTGAGTCTCATCAGACGAGACAGGATCATTTTCGTTTATAATATCCTCGGAGAGTACTCTCATACTCTTCCCCTACCTTACCTAGGCCATGACACAGCAAACATGCCTGATGTCATTTCAGTCACTCTTGAACTACCAGGACAGAAAATGGAAGGATGGGAGAAATACAGACAAGAAGCATGCACATCTTGAACATCACTGATTACTAGTAAACAATCTGACCAACAGGCTTCAAGTGTTCCCATGATAACATTCTGAGTCACTCCAAGCAAACGTCTTCAAATCATCAAATTACTTGACTGAGAATTCTGTCAAGGAGTAAGACTGAAATAATGCTCCTGAAACCCTGAGATATAGCCGAGTGTTTGGTAAAGTTGTGTGTACAGCACTAGTTTTGGCATGAAATCAATTATTTCCTATCACAGAAGTTATTTCTGTCCAGGTAGAACATGCTCAGGCAACAAATAAGGGTTCTACCAGTTACAGAATCACTGCAGCCTTGTACAGAGCGTTTTCCCTTTTGATATTTACACTTGGGAATGGCCAAAGTATTTTTTCTCTGGACTGGACATAAGCTTTCTGAGAAAATAAAAAAAATCCAACCACCTACGTATAGAATCTTCCTAACTAAAGCATGCATCTGGGGGCAAGAAATATAGGCTGATGGAGATGGAACTGTGATACTGCTTTAAGAAGAAATTTAACCTTAAAGAACAGCACTCATGAGGGTTTGAATTTTCCTTAACGTACACTAATAGTAGCAGCAATGAAGGAAGCCACTTTCATGAGAAGATGACAAAGAGCTGGAGTAAAGGAATTGTGAGAACAAAGTCAAAATCCTCATGGGAAAATAGTGTCTGACAGCAGGGTACGCTCTGGACTAGTCCTTTAAAGAGTGCAAACAGCACAGGAATCAGTTGATCAAAGACTGTGTGTAGTGACAGCAATGTAAGATCACAGACGTCCAGCTTCTTTCAGTTTCATTAGATTATTCCAAAATAAGCAGAAGGCAGAGGCATTAGAGACAGAGATGGAACCATCAGAGCAACACACTGGAAATGTGGACAAGGTGAACATGTGTCATTGTTCTTACCATGAACTGGGACTGCTCTCTCACACCAGAGAAGAGCAGGATCCTATAAATGATAAATCTGTGCTACGGATGTTTCTAGTTTACAATGGAGGAAGAGCTTTCACAGACAAGTGTGATCTTGAAGTTAAAATCTCTTTGGCTGGCTATGCCTGAGAAATTAAGGTCGATAAACCCTGAAGTCCTTTATCTTGACCACAGAAAGGCATCTATCAGCTCACTTAGCTGCAACATCAGGAACAAACTGAAAAAACACCCAGACACCAACCCACTGAAGTGGATATCAGAGACATTGTTTTGTTGGAAGTGAGCAGAACTATGTTTGAACTCTGAGAAGAAATCAGGGGGGGAAATTCTGTTATCCCAAAGAATAGCTCTGCTTAGGCTGTAGACAAAAGAACTGGATGAGCTAGGCAGCTGAAGAGCTGACTTGCACTAGCTATATCCAACATTAAAGTCACAACTGCTTCTTCATAAAGGAGAATGACCATCTTCTTGTTTACAAAATACACTGTTCAAAATATCTGACTTCAAAATGGACATACTTATGACCCATCGCAGTTCACAGTGGACACCAACCACTGTCCAGTACTGGTCTTCCTCTTCAAACGCTAGAAGAATGTTTGCCATGGACATCATCCTGATGTTCCAGATATACAAGCTGAACCTCCACATCCATACAATGCAGAACCAGACACTCTTCTTTTTTTGTCATGAGGAAACAATTATGGTAGAACCCCTCCTCCCCTTCGCTATGCCAACACCAACTTTATGGCAAGCCAAGATAACATATCAATCTCCAGTAAAGGCAGGTTCTCATGGGACAAATGATCTCTGAGAGGCAAAGGGAAGGGGTAAGCAAAAGGGAAATTAAAAGTAACAGCAAGGCAAAGTGGATTAACTAGCTGCTTCTAACCATATCTAGTACTTTGGTATCTGATGTCATCCAATGCCAAAAAATAGTTTTCATCTAAAGTCAGAGGTAGAGCTCATTCTAAGCACACCTTTGGGGTGTACCTAAGAACACTTGTGAAGTGTGACGTCTAATGCAGTAAGATTCTATGTCATTTTGGTCAGGTTCAAAGTGATAAGATATCTTTCTAAAAATCACTGCCTCCACTCTGATCAGCCCTGAAAGTTGAAACTGCTCAGGTCTATTTGATGGGAAAGGTCTGCCATCAATAAAGTTTCGAACAAGGTCTGTGTCTCAGCAGCAGAGCATGGAATCTTTAATGAATACAGAGCAGCCTGGGAATTTTTTGTTCTGAGGCTAAAATAAAGAACAAGTTAAGGCAAAAGGAGATATTGAATAGCATCTCAAAGGAGGGACAAGTCTGCCACCTCTTTGCAGCCGCAGAGACCACAAGAGATTTGCTGACTAGGAGGCTGTGTCCACACTACACTGACGGTAACCTGTAAACACAGCCTGAGAAATTGCTGGTGTTTCTGAAAGAACAAAAAGAAAGAATCCATAGCATCAGTACAAAGAGAAGAAAAAACCCCTGAAAATTTGCTGAGTAATTTGAACTAGTAGCAGGCAAACAGGGTCAGATAGTTTGCCAGTCAAAACTGCAGTGAAGTTGAAGAATAACATTTTTTTCCCAGGCTGTCTACTTGCTTGACTTCTCTGAAGATGAAATGAGGACAGGTAGTGTAGAACACCAATAAAACTAACATGGTTCAATCTCTACCCGCAGCATCAGAGTAATGCATGTAGTTTCCAGCACCCTCCACAGCAAGTCCTCAGAACATCTCTGATTATCCAAGTAAGTCTGTCCAACCTCTGCTATGGGAGGAAACTGACTCTCCCATCTCTGGGAAAGAGCAGGACCAAGAGGAGGTGGTTATAGGTTTTTAGTCATTAAAAGTGTTCGTTGATTGCCCTATTACAGCAGGTCCAACACCCACATCAATCTAGACAGACCAGTGAACAACAGACTAATCCAGAGAATGAAGTCTCGAGCTCACCACCTTTGACAGAGGCGATACAGTCTGGATCCTGCTCCCCTGAGCTCAACAGCCACATTCTGTATTGAAAAGAACCCTGGCCGGAGGTATGTCTTGGATATATTGGACCATGAGATGGAAAACATCCTCTCCAGAAGGGGCAAGGATACTGCTGGTGGTGTCAGGGAACCTTTTCTGGAGACAGGAGACACTGAGATAGGGGTGTGAAACCACCCAGGCAATGACATATTATGATGTCCTTATTCTGTTCCTACAAGACTCCTGCCAAACCTGACATTCCCAATGGTACCACGAGGAGAGATGTGGCAGAGCTGTGTCTTCATGGTGAAAAGGTAGATAGGCAACTTTGTGCCAGTGCTCCCGTGGTACTCAAAGAGCCAATGCAAATGTGTAATGGACCAGTACTGGGGGAAGCAGCATATATGTACGATACCTGTCCCAATTTTTACCACAAGTAACAACCAAAAAAAATCAAGCTGATGATATGGAGTGTCCCTTCTTTGTACAATGAAAAGGAAACAACAACAAAAAAACTTTCCAGTCTCAAGTGACAGAACACTAACACACCCATATGTACGTACAAGTGGAGAGGCATGAATAAAATTAAATACTTCAGAAGTCTTTTTTACTACCAGCATATAAAATTTCTGGTACTAGATGGGTGTCACAAGTAAGGTGGAATGAACCTATCTTTAAATTTCAGCAGTCCCATTGACCTTAATAGCCTTTGGTTTATATTCTTAATTAGCAAGAAATGTCAGCTCCCAGCTACTCTTAATGTTTTAGCAGTCCACTTATTTAGTTTGGAAGCAGCACTAATTACAGATACTACTTAAATGGCACAAAATCTTCAGTATAATCTCTTCCTCATTACTGTCTCCAGTTTCTCCCCACTCTTCTCTTTCTCAATGGCTTTCAGATTCCCTTGTCTTTATGCTGTGATTTAAAAAAATTTGTTTACAAAAGGCACCACCAGGATGGGATCATCTCCATTACAATTTACTTTTAAGTTACTGGTTTACTTGACTTTCTAATTTATACTAATGGAATATGTTTGAATGAAATTATGTGTCAGACCATTTGTATATTTGCAAGACCAATCCTGCACATGAATCTTTCAAGAATTCCCTTATATCGATTGAAAAGACCATTAAACATCCTATTTGAGTGATTCTAAGGGGAGGACACTGATGATTTAAATATATTTTTTTTTGTGACTAAATTTCTCACAGCAGCTTTTCTCATCTTTCCTCTCATGCTACCTGTTGCCACCCCCCACAATGTAGTTCACAACCCCTCAGTTGTACCAATTACATGTTTACAACTATTTATAGGACCACATTATAAATCTGATCAGTAAAATGATCATGCTGAAATGTCTTTTTTCTTCCAATCTAGATCATTTCACTGATCTGGTTTACAGTATAATGCTATGAACAATTGGTGCAACCAGGAGTTTGGAAAACTGTGGGAACTTCTTAAATGGTTTTACTGCTGAACAAAAACATACTGTGGAGCTACACCTTAAATTGTTAAAGTAAAGAGAAGGTGTTGTTACCCATTAGACATACTGGGTGCACATTATGCTGCGGGTTTTTTTTTTCCAGTCTTGATACTCCCTCCCTCATAAAATATTGAAATTAGTTGGTTCACAGTTCTGTCATACTTAATACCAGCTGTATATTTCAGTATAAGAATGAATATAAAATACAAACCTGTGTAACAACAACTATTACAGCAATGCCAGTAGATGTTGGAGTGGAATCCCACTGAAGAGGTCTGCCATGAGATTTCTTCAATCTGCCTATCGTCCAACCCATACACAGACTCAACAATAAATATAGCATTTGTACCTGTGAGACTATGTCACACACTATTGAAAACAAAAGAAAAATAGAGTCACAACATAAATGAAGTACTTCCTAAAGCAAAGAGATATGTTCTATATACCCACAAATGAAGGGTGGACATTTATGTCTTGGTATCAACTTCAGTTATAATTTTGATGATTGTTTGACTAGATGAGGTTGTTTTGCCACAAAATGTGGCTATTTTGAGTAGTTTCCAGTCACCAAATAGATCACCATCAGCTTTCCTCTAGTTATGCTGCAGTTCTGCAACAACACGGGCACAGTGCCACATCCTTCCAAATCCCACTCTTGTGTCAAAGAAGTCTGGGCTCAGGAGTCCATCTACATAAATAGACTTGTAAATGCTAAAGAACTAAAATCATATGTATGTTAATCACATTGCAAATATGAAGCATGATGAAATGAACTCCTTTATTTGCTCTGAAAAACTTTTGTTCAAAAAAATCACATAGTTGCATTGTACTTTAAATTAATTGTACTTTGTCTTAAGGATGCACTACCTTGCAATAGAAAGCTCAAATATTTAGGACAAGTTCCACTCTCAGATACTTAAAGGGTAAAATATAATGAATAACCCTAACACAAACTTCATTTGGAACAACAACTTGTCTGTATTTCATTTTATTAAATGCAAACTACCTTTGCCTCATTTTGCTATGTCTATTTTTTTTTCTCTGTTTGGGAACAACACATACTCCATAAAGTCACATTCTTAATCAGCATCTCAAATCTGTGTTTGAAGCTGTATCTGAATAAAGAAAACTTCAAGCTAGAATATATTAAAGCCTTTACTTGTTGGCCTTGCCAAAGTGCTACTGACAGGAGAAAGAACTGAAGATTTCTTTCTGGGTGATTAATAGCTTTAGACCTGACAAGTTTTTGACTGAAACTTATAAAACAATTTTTAAGTTAATGTTTGAACTTAAGAGTACTCATTGTACTGGCATAGCAGAGATGTACAAGAAAAAGTGATTCTTATATATTGCAAATTTGGTTCAGAAACTAGAGATGGGGCACTACATGCAACAATGCTTTCTTTTTCACTTGATCAATATTTTAGTTCAATTAAATTTTATCCTTATTTGTAATTTTCTCTTACGCTATCAGGTACAAGAAAAGTATTTCTCTGTCACAAAAGTAAACTTCTATTTTTATACAACTGGACTGTATTATAAAAGATAAGTGTACTTCCACATTTACTAAAAATATTGGCACAGAAAATGTTGCCACTGTACAGAAATTAATAGGCACACAAAGGAAGTATGTCAAATGAAGATCAGCTACAATATTTCCCTGACACTCAGCAATACTAGCAAAATATGGGTGTAAACAGACTCCAACACATTTTTCCTGGGGTATATCTGGTATTCTCAGTTTATATGCCTAAATACTTCCTAATGTATTCAGACACCTTTGCTGTTTAAGAAATGTCAAAAGCTTTTAGTAAATACAAACTTGCTCATTCTTTAATAAAATGAACTGGCATTCATTTTTGGCAAAATGATCTTGGAATTACTTTACAATGCTACCTATGGACATATAGTACTCACTAGCAAAAATCATTACGTGAACCCATGGCATGCCAAACCAGTGTCACAAATCCAAGCTAGAGAGATGACTGAACAAATCTGGATGTTCTAGAAAGCATTTTATTTTCTGTCACTCCTTAAGATAACCTGCCCTATAAGTTATAGCCAGACATCATCTCTCAATCACATATTTGATATAGATATCACTCTGCTTCAGTGTGGCAAGAATTCAAATGGATTCCCAGACAAAATGGTGTAAGATAAAATTTAGTACTGGCTTTAATCTTTGACATCTCACATACCTTATCAGAAAGTAGGAAGGTTGAGAGAAATTTCTAATATTATCAATAATCCCACAATATCCAGGGTCAGTGCAAAGTCACATGCTACTGAGCTGATACCATATTTGTCTGATTTCACCACAATTCACCTTTTTTGGCTGTTCAAGGGGCATAATAATATTCTTTGACTTTTCACATTTAGATCTTACAAAAAGTTAGAAGATGACTATTTGTGATTCTTTTGAGTACCAGCATTATTTGTGTGATTTATGTGATTAACTTGGGTAATAAATTAGTCTGAGGGTCAGCTCTTTATACATGGTAAAGACTAAATGATGGCAGGAAAAGAATAATTGCTTAGTATCTGAACAGGTTCCTACACAGAAATTCTGGCCCTACTGTGCTCGACAGAAATTTTACTCTTTGCTTTTAACTCAGATTTCTGTTCTGATATAGAAAAAACGGTAGCACCTTCCGTCTTTCTTCAGAATTGCGATTGACACGGAAGCTTTTCACATTTCTATTACTTCTGCTTTTTTATTGTTTTGGGAACCATGAACCTTAAAACAATAAGAAAGGAAAACTCTTTCAGCTGAATTTCTTAAATTCAGTTATTAATTAAAAAATTATTTTATTCTTAAAACCCTGTGCTTTAAGCAAATAAAAGTGGGCTTTTCACTACAATACATATGCAGAAAATCTAACGTGCAGCTACTCTTTCTGAAGCTCTGGCTGGGTAGTTAATGCTGGGTTTCTCACTGGGGAGGAGTTATGACTACCTCCATATTCTCTATTTAATTTCACTTCAGGAGATGAGAAGGAAAGTTTAATAATACAGTTGCTAGAGAGGCTGAAAGGAGCTGCTAACTCAAATGGTTAAAACAAGAAAGAGGCAATTACTGTGGTGCCAAGTGCCATCAAGAGGCTGTTAATTCCAACTGCAAGCGTCTAAATTAACTCTAGGAAGGGAAATATTTATCTATATAGGCTGTTACTCTCCAACACTGTCTCTCTACCACAGTACTACTCTCTTGGGGTGCTTCAAGCCAAGCAAAAGGCAATGTATTTGCTTGGAAAGAACCCCCCAATGCTTCAAATGTGAACTACAGTTAAACAGCCTGTAAGAATCCAGGAGGAGCATATTAGTGTGTTTTGGGAAGGGATGTTAAAGGAATTCAGTTCCAGTGAGAACTCAAGAGTATCTACAGAGAGTGGAGAAAAATGTATTGTTAACATCAATTCTTCATGTAAGCATTTTTTTTCACTAATCGTATCACTTGTGCTGTAAAACACTCACTTTTTCATATAATCAATGTTAAATTTGCTAGTGAAATGACACTCCCTAAAATGTGATTAAGTTTCCTAAAAAGCTTCACAACTCTAGATCATGCAAACTCCTCTAAACCTTTCATTGTAGTGAAACACTTACTCATGTTATAAGCACGTATTTAAATGTTTGTAGGAAGGAATCTTCAGGCAAGAAAATCCTTTTAAAAATCCTAAGCAATATCAAAATTGTATAACTTTAAATACAGTTATTGTAATCATCCAGAATAAAACCTGTTTTTCAGAAGAGCAACTTTTAGCATTTTATATTAAAAATCCAGTGATATGGTCCAAGATCATAATACAGTCCAACAACAGTATTCACTAATGTATTATACAGATTAATGTGTAAGAATATGTAAGAAACAATAGACAAGCCTACTCACATTCTGCCAGACTTCCCATAAAAGGCGCTCCTATTCCATCTTTAGAGTAACTGATAAAAGAATAAAAAGACAGTATCTTTAAGTGAGTGAGTCTTAAATGTGTGTTCTCCCTTAAAAGTACATTTTGGCAATGACGTAGCTCTAAAAAGTCAGTCCTAGGTTTTGTCACAATCACCACAGGAAAGATCATGTACTGATCTTTACAACACAATGTTCTTCAAGTATTAAGACTGACAGCAAAAATAAGCAAAGATACCTTGAGAAATGCAGATAGTTGGCAAAAGCTGAACCAGCCTGCAACACTAATGCAATCGTCAACACCTTTAATACAGTATGCATAGGTCCACGCTTCTTAATTGTTTGCCATAGGGACTGTGCATATATGCAAGCAGTTATAAAGTATGCTAGGACAAGCAGGAAAAAGAATTCATGTAATCCTGTGGAAAAAAAAAAAGAAATACAGCTTAGTTTTTATAAAGAAACATTGCTACATTGCTACTAGGAGTAAACAAAAAAAAAGGGATTTTTTATATAATCACTGGGAAATACTTAGTAACTGTCACTCAAAAGTGGTAGTACAGATAAAATGAGTAAAGCCTAGCCTATTTTATCCAAGGAAGTCAGTGAACTTTTTCAGAGAGCTGATTATTATTTGACATGACTGGGTATTTTTTATTCACCAATACCTTTTCCAAGTGTAGGAGAGATTCTGTTCAAATATAAATAGCTTTGTAGCAATTACTGAAATACTGCAAAGTGGCATACAGTTTCTTGATAAACAGAAAATAATTGTAGCACCCTTAATCAGTCAGAAACATATTTATTAGAGGGCTCAATTTTAGCTCTTTTTTTGCTTCAATTTTTAAACGCACAATCTGAGATGAGAGAAACCCAGAACAGACTTCTGCTGAATCTATTTAACCGCTGGGTGTCACTCTTGCTCCATATAAAGTAGTTAGTCCAAGAAGCACAGTTGACTGAGACAGAAAACTTTAAAGAAAAATGGAAAGAAAAATAGCAGAGAGAACATTAGTAAGTTCATAGAGTGGATTTTTTTCACCAATCTGAAAAAATGCCCAGAGTTTTTGATATTATTAAAAAACAGAATTCCTCTAATTTTCAGTCTGGCAGTAGTCCAGTAAAGTGCTTCCCTGAAGACCTGGATCCCAGAAACCTTTCCTATCATCCGGAAGTTCTGGAAACCATCATATGAGCTCCCACAGGGTCAAAGCCAGTGAGCTGTAAACAAAAATGGGTAAACAGACGTTTCTCACAGAAAACTTATGTTTTCCTTCTCCAACCTTCCTTGAAACCAAGTGGTGCCCACAGAAGCAGGTTCTGAACAATGTTATTCCTCCAGCAGCAAAACAACTCTGCTAAAAACTTTCCACCAGCTCCACCCAGAGATTAGAAACGGAGCAATTACATATATTTCAATATCTAAGCAGAAAAACATTAGAACTGGGTAAGTTCTGAACAGCTGCTAGCGCTACAACTTCTGTGGCTAAAATTAATCATTTTGGACATACATACAGTGAAATGGGAGAAAGAGCATAAGATAATAAGGACTCATAAGATAAAAATTTCAGGGCCACTCTGCTTCTCTTGTATACTTATACAAAAGCATGATTTATGAATGACAAAAATATTCATTTTAGATCAAATCTCTTAGCCTCCTCCTCTCTCAAGGCAAACGTCTTAATCACAAGGTTACAGTCTCAAGTTCTTTCCTATACTTTCCTTACTATAGTCCATTTAATTTCGATATCTCCTGTGTCAGGCCATAACTTTAGTAACTAAAGTGAAGAATCACCTAACTAGAACCATCCATAACTAGTTTTTAGTCACCTAAAAGAAAGAATCAAGAAATGGAGCTGGATCTTGTCTCTGATACTCTAATGCTGTAAACTGCACACCTCTATGGAAAAACAAGCAGCATTATTCCCCAAAGATGCCTTAACCAAAAAAAAAAAAAAAAAAAGGGACATAGATATGAAATCCTTCTCAGCCTTTTGAAAATAGACACAGGCATGTAAAGTCAGGATTCATGGCAGCAATGCAGGTTTTAATTCTGAATAAACAGGTGCTGCTCTGCAACTGTGGAAGACATGACATGTACAGCTCACCCTGTTTCCTACTTTTTACATTTGAATATGTACATTCAACACATTTACACACCTCTTTACTCACTATGCAAGGTGTTCAGAGTTCTGCTTCCAAGTGCTCAAAGTCTTTCTACAAAATTAATATAGAGTCGAGATGCCTCTCGAGGAGGTCTGTATATCACTTCTAAGGGCCACAAGACATCTTATAGCTGCTTTGCCCATTGTTTTATCAGAAGAATGCTACTACTGCTTTTTGAGAATAAGTGAATTAGCCTAGAATTCACTTCTGGATACAAAATTCACCAAATAAAACCTGCCAACTAAGTTTGTAGATTAAGAAGTTAAAGAGACAGGTAAATCCATTTATAAACCTTGAAAAATAGAGGAGTAACAGTGATACTTTCTTACAGATTCTGCTAAATGTTTCAATTAACATTTTTTTCCTTTCAAAAAGGGAGCTGCCTTTGTTCCCTCTGTATCCCCTTGAGACCAAAAATAACAGCAGGGCATATGATTCTGAGCATAGCAATTAGGCTCATTCTGGATATGTAGGTTAAATCTGCAGATGAAGGCAGACTAAGCCTATTGGGCTCTTCCCTTAAAACAGACCTAGGTCACTGATGTGCTGACAAGGCCTCCCAGAGCAGCGAAGCTGAGCACTGCAATGAAGCATACGTTAGGTTGTTTTGGACTGTCCAAAGCATACAGTTTTATGCAGGCATTTCTTTAGCTGCTGTCTTGAGTCACTTCTAGACGTTTTTCCTTGCACATTTAAAGATTTAAAATTGCATTTCTTAAATAAAATCAGGACTGACAAATATGTGATCTGTGGACTATGACTAAGATACTTATAAAGACCTAAACACTGAACTCAAATTGCACTGGCAAGAAGTCTTGTTGTGTATGTACTTGTGTTGCACAGAATCAAATTTTACCTAGCTAAAGAATTTAATGAATTCATTAAAATCAGGGATTATATTCACATTCAAGCAGAAGCTTATGATTTCAACATGGGAAAAACACCTATCAGCAAAGATGTTAACACTAACTGTCCTTCTGTATTTCTACTTCCAGCTAGGCAAGTTTTGGAAAGTCTAGAGAAAGGGAAGGATTTTTCTGTAATGCCAGAAAATGAATTAAAGTTTACTATCTGTGAGAAAGTAGAATATGAAATATAAGAGACTGCCATCCATTCCCCATACTTTTCCAAACATAGTAAGTATTGATTTGTTTGGGTGATCACATCCTTAACTTACAAATCTAATTTTAAGAAAAAAAGTCTTACCAGATTCCCCTGCGCTAAAGTGATCTAATGGATTCCCTTCTGCATCTGGGTTTAGTAAGACCATTTCAAACTGAATATCCTCGGATTCAGAATAATTCTCCTCGCAGGTAAACTTGTCTACATAAAACACATACCATGTTTCCGGATAAGGAATCTGGGACACTGTCAGATTTTGCTCTGTGAGGTTCACAGTCACTTTGGAAGAAAAGAAACAAACAAAAATAGGAGTAAATACTTATTAGCTTGTTTTTAGAAAACTCAACTTTGAATGAAGGTAAAATTTAAATCTACAACATCACATGCTGGTTACAAACTACATACAGTACAAAACAGTCTTTGTTCTGAAAGCTAGCCATAACACCAGAGACTAGACTTTCAACTTCATCTTTTGTTTCAAGTAGGTGCAGGCAAGGGCTGGTGAGGATATGCACCACACTCCATCTCCCAGCTTTTGGGTTCACTGCAAGGGCTTCCTTCTGCCAGAAGCCAGTAACAGCAAAATGTGTCTCCTATGCTTCGCATACTTCCGTCATCTAGTACAGAATTGATAGTATTAACTACTCTGTACCAGCCAACAGATACTTCTGCAGTATGAAAAGTACCTTTGTGAAACTACTTCTACTCTGTTTTCAAAGGTATTTAGAGCACCAAACAGGAACAGCCACATGTGAACTCGGTAAACAACAGTGTGCATGCTTCACAGGTGCCACTTAGCATATTTTACAGCATCTTCTCCAAACCATAATAAGACTTAATTTCAATTGACAGATAAGGGCTGAGACACCATTGTCTAATAAAATTGCATGTTTCAAATCAGATTTCATTTAAAACCAACTATGTAAGAGACTGAGGTTTCATCTGCCCACTGATCTGACCACTATTTTTCCTAAAACCAACTGTTAACCAAGCACAATCTCTCCAAAATAAACATTTGCTGTAAATTAAATTTGTGGCTCTGCATGTGTGGGTGAAACTGCAAGAACTGTAAGTACTATTACTGAACTTATTACTGAACTTGAGTGCTAATCAGCTCAACCATAAATGAAAGCCATGCCTGTAGAAGAAATAACAATATAATGACTGGACTGTAGATTAATTCTCATTAATTAAGATGACAATGACTAAGGATGAGGAAAAAGAAAAATTTATAAAAAAAAATTTACAAAACAAGCTATTTCTGGGTTTTATGCAAAGGTCTTTCTAAATGAAAAAGCTGCAAACATACATATAAAACAACCTTTAACAAACTCATTATCCCTACATACTCTGTAGACAAAACTTAGAACTAATTTCTAACTTGAAGCCTATGTGTGAAAAACATATATGTAATTTAAATAAACTTGTTTAAACTTCAGGAAGTTATTTTCTGTATTCTGAAGGCATGAACCCACAGTCAACATTAGGATCCAGGAAGCAACCTATGATATGTTTCTTTGTAGCGACTGTCATGAAGTACAAATTTGGACAACACAGGAAACTGGAAAAAAAAAAAAAGTGTTCTAACACAGGCAATTTGCCTTGTGCGGGTAATGGTAAGTACACACTCCACTGTGGACCTACAGACCTTATCAATCAACTATACAAAGTGAAACAGCTCCCTTCAAAAAACCTTAGGATTTTTAAAACCACAGATTTAGGATTTCATATGGTGCTTAATCCAAATGAAAGGCAAACCGCAGCTGAGGGGTGGCTTTACTCTCCACCTCCACTAGGTCAGCTGAGTTCTGACACTGTTACTTCCATCAAAACTAAGGATCACACAGAGCACCTTTAATCAGTTTCCCATCAAATCTGCAAGCTAACTCACAGGAAATTAAAATAAAATTAAAATGCAACTGATTTTGCCCAAGATCAGCAAACAGATCCAACTCCCCCTGTGGCCACATGATTCCTAAACACAGCAGAAATCAGGGAGTACACTGCTGGGACAGACAGGAGCGACGGACCAACTGCCAGTCATTTCAGCAGCGCTTCATGTTCAGCTCAGACCAAGTATAAGGGAAACTACATCCTTAGAAGTGACATCTGCTTAAGATTTTGTTATGACAGTGTTCTGGGATATCAATTCGTTATGCTAAGGATGCTGGCCACATAGAGGAAATGTATTTAAAAAAGAAGCTGCATTCACTTAAGATGTATTTGAATTAAATTTCTAATACTAATTTAATTTTTTAAAGGAAAATTTAGGCTTTAAGTAGGTTTTGTAATACTACAATCAATAAATGGTGCAAAAATTATTATCTCAGTATGTTTATCTTCCAGTTACATAACTGAGTGCTTCAGTATTTTACTGTTCTTTTACATTTAGATGGATACTCAAGCTCTATCCTGATTAGCTTATCTTTAATACTGTATTAAAAAATTTCTAACATGTTTTGTACATCAAAGTGTGACAGGTTTGTGCTATCATTAAAATGAAAATACGTGGGGTTTTTTTGTTTTCTTGTCTTTGAAAATGCCATTTCCATGCAACTGGTAAACAGGAGACTCCTGACAAATGAGAAATGTTCCTTCATAAACACAAGACAACAAGATAACCTACATATTCTGTACTGGTATAATTGTCAGCTCAAATATTAAATACATTTGAATGTGAGATTCAGTGAGGAATACCAAATTACAGGCAAGTTATAAAGTAAAATGGCATAACCCAGATTAATTTTTGCAGATGACTTTAGAGACAGGAAAAAAAAAAAAAACAAACCAACAGAAAACCCCTAATGATTATGAGGTTGTAAAAGAAAAAAAAAAAGAGAGAAAATAGCTTTGCAGGTACAAAGTTACCCTTCTACTGTGTACTTAGGCTACATACTCCCATCTTAAAAGCATTCACTTCAGAAGTTTAGAGGTAACTGCAGCTGGCTCCATCAGTTTGCCTCTAATTTTTTTTTATTCCACTGCAATAAAAGTCACAATTCAAACTGTATGTTTGACTGTCCTAACTATTCAGATTCTCAAATTTTTCAGTTCCCTATTACAATGGTATTCCTTGTAAATTCTTTCAAATATTCAACATAAATTTTTAATAGAAATTTTGAGATTGAAAAAAAAAAAAAGGACTTTTAATCCAAGCAAAGTTAAAGAAAATCTCTGTGCTGAATGAGTAAATGAAAACTTCACCCAAACGTGTATCCTTTCCATGTTGTGTATAAGTGGAGAGCATGAGACTAGAACTGGTCATAAAATCTGGCTGTTTGCATTAAATTTAACATTTGTCAAGGACTGTTCCATTTTCCAGCATTATGCTAAATCATAGCTTACAAAGTCTTCTGAAGCGATGCAAACAAAGCAATTTTATTTCCTTGTAATCATTTTTAATTACAGAAGACCAAAGTCCTGCTTTTACTTAAGTTGATACAAAGTCCAAATTCACTGAAATAAATATTCTACATAAACAGCTAACTTAACAGGGTTCTAAATACACAGATAACTTAATTTGTAAGGGGAAAAAGAAGTAGCAACTCACTTGTCAGCTGAGCTTTAGAGAACATCTCTGTACAGCTGTGATGTTGGATACTGTTCTGTAGCTTCTGCCACTCCTGTGCTTGAAAGAGGTGAAGTCTAGCTGCTTTTGTCACAGCTACTGCAATGTTCTTGATTCTGACACACAGAACAGCATGGTCACCTTGATATTTAAAAAATAAAATCAACTACTTTGCCTTGATGTCAATTAAAAGCAAAAAGTTAGCATGGCATAATTTTTTCCTTAAGTAGCAGCACTAAAGCATCACTTTGTTTCTTCAACTTTTACCACTACTTCCCATAAAAGCCTTTACAGTCTTTCAGAAACAACTTCCATACATCTCATCAACTCAACACTGCATGCATGATTCTCTCTGATGGTACTTAAATAAATCTGCACCATAACCTTTTCAACTACAAACAGCCTTCTCCCCCCCCTTTTTTTTTTGTTTTTTAAACAGAGTTCTTTTTTCCTTCCTCCCACTCCAAATTTTATTTTCTCAAGTTTAAGCAAAGACAGTGCCTCAATCAGTTTAAATAACTGGTTCAAAGTCTAATATTTTATGACCTTTGTAGCACGATTATGAGCATCATAGGGTAGCTCTTGAGTCTAATACCAGAAGGACTTATGTAAATGGACCTTCATGTTGCGGACTGATTAGAGCCAAAATACTTAATTATAGATGACAGACGTCAAATTGATAAAAAGAAAATCAAACTTCAAAGGTGTTCTCTAATGTGTCAGTCTACCTAGAGGCTGCATCTTGACATAGAGAAATATTTTAGCTATGTTAGAACTAACTCATTTGACACAATTTATCTTGTCTGGGTAATTCTACAATCCTCAAGCTTATTTTGAGAAATTCTTTCATTATATATTGCCACAGACTTCTTCAACATAACAGCATCCTAAATTAATGGAGAAGAAAAGTCAATCGCTACTGCGAGAGCATGAACTCATTCAAATTTAAGCAATCTTTGTATATTTTTTAAACTGTCAGACTAATCTTTCCCACCTGACCTAGGCACCAGCTGGATAAGAGTCAATAGACTACCACCAGCTTTAAGTAAGGCTTTGCCATAACAGGTTTAATTGTTTAGAGCCAGTTACAAGATACTGGTCCTGCAATAAAACCTCAAAAAAGGTGATCTCTTGGGATCTGTAAAATATTATATGGACTACAGTTTACTGAAGTTGCTAAGAAAAGATTTTGAAAAACTATCACAAGATTCTAAAAAAAGCCATATGGCTTCATTAAGACCCAAAATACATATAGTTGTGGGTATTCATGCAGAAAGAGGTGTATTTCTAAGGAAATAAGCAACATCAACTTGTAGAATAAATTATATCTGAACACCTAAACCACTTGTCTTGAATCTTAACATTCTTTTATCAGATTTAAGCAGTGCACCTTTTTTTTTTTTTTTTTCCCCCCTTTAGATCTATTTAGAGCATTTCTACAATTATCTTCTGGGACAGTGATAATTAACTGCTTTCAAGTCACTCCACAAACTGTCCCCACCCTATCTATCATCTCTCATTCAGCGCTGGAAGGTCACATTCCAAGTCTTCTTGGCTTATTTTCCTTCACTGGATTTTTTTCTTGCAAACGTTTTTGTTTTCCTCACACTACTCCAGTCTGGGAGGAAGCCTGCGTAAGTATTATCTTCATGGTTGTCTTTTGAAACATTCCGCAGAACTCTTCTGCCATGAAGCTAACTGAGAAAGAAAACAAGTCTAAGCCACAGAAATGCTGAGCATATAGATAGGAAAAGCATGCTGACCAGCACAGCCTCGTTGTATACGGCACTCACCGTGGGGGCATATATCTCTTTTTGCAAAGTAAAACTTCCGTAGCAAGGAGAGTAATTTCCAACCTGTATTTCTGCAGCGGCCATTCTAATAGGATTCTAGCCCATTGCTAAGCGCCTTATGTAACAGTCAGGAATTATTACTAACAAGGCGCTAGTAACACGGGAAAGACGAGCCATTAGGAACAATTAGGTGAGGATTCACATCCTGATGCACGGCGACACCAGAAGCACCAGGGATGCGAAACAGACCCGCGCAGCTTGAAGCCCTGCTCTCAGCTGGCGGGGCTCCGTGAGGGGGGAGAGAGAGCGCGTGGGCAAGTTAGAATGCCGCTGCTCTCCCGGACACTCCCGTGGGACTGGCGGGGGGGGGGGAAGCACAGCGCCGAGCACCCACGCTCCGAGGAGCAGCCACGCTCGCCCACGCAGCGCAACGGGCGGCCACCACCTCCCGCTGCCGCCGCCTCCCACCGCCCCTCCGGGCTCCTCACCCCCCGCGGAGCCGCCCACACCCGTTACAGGGCCCGGCGGCGGGCGGGCTGCCGTGCCGGCCCCTCAGGACGCCGCCCTAACGGCCGCCCCCCCCCCCCTTTCCCCTCCTCCTTGGGGCACCCACCGTGGAACTGGAACCGCGCCACGGGCCGCCACGGCTCCAGCCGGGCGGCGGCGCTGGCGAAGCCGCCCCGCAGCGTCTTGCCCCCGGCGCCCCACCAGCCGGCGGCGCACAGGAGCCACAGCAGCCGCCGCAGCAGCGGCCACCGCATCCCGGGGCCGCCGCCACCCCCCCCGCCTTCTTTTTTTTTTTCTTCGTCTTCTTCTTCCTCCTCCTCCTCCGCCGGCGGGCACCGCTGCGTCACGTGACACCCCCCCGCCGCGGGTTACAAGCGGGCGCGGGACGGGACGGTGGGAGGGCGGGACCAGAAAGAGAACCAATGGGAGCCGCGCACGAGGAGGGGGGCTCGCCCACTCCCTCCACGCCTCGGCGGGGGGGCGGGGCCAACAGAGCCGGCCCCGCCTCTGCCACCGTGCCCCGCACCGCCCCTACTACAACGTGTCCGTCGTTGGGCTCGGCCGTAAGTTGAGACCCAGCCGTCGTAAAAGGCGCCGGTCGGCGGTGAGGGCGGGTGCCGAGCCTCTTCAGAGGCAACGGGCTCCGGTGTTGGTGGCCGCGGGGAGGGAAGGGAGGAAGGCTAGGCGTTTTGTCACGCGGGTTCCCTCTGCGGCCCTTGCCCGTGGAGCACTCCGGCAGAGCTACAGCGTCCGTCGCGCACGCGTGGCCGTGAGGTCGCGGCGCGGGGGGGCGGAAGGGCTGTCGCCGTAAAGCGCGGAGGATGGCGGTGCCGCCGGGCGCCGCGGAGCTCCCGGTGTTCGAGAAGCGGCTGCTGGTGACGGGCGGCGCCGGGTTCATGTGAGCGGCGACCACCCCCCCACCCCCCTCCCCCCCGGGTTTGGGGGGCGCGGGTGGGGTCCGGCGGTGCCCCCTCCGTTGGGCCTGTCCGGGGCCGGTTCGGCGGGGGCGGGGGGGGGGGGCTGTGCTTCGAGCCGACTGTCGTTTCTCCTCTCCGCTCCCCGGTGCTGCGGGCTCTGCTCGAGGCAGAGAAAAATTCGGGTCCGTCTTAAGCGTGAGCCCTTCAGCGTGCTCGGAGTCTGGAGCTGGGGGAGGGTTAGATTCCTGCGTGCGCCTCTCCAGCTTTGGCGGGGTGTTGTGTCTGTGTGTGTCTGTGTGTGTCTGTGTGTGTCTGTGTGTGTCTGTGTGTGTCTGTGTGTGTCTGTGTGTGTCTGTGTGTGTCTGTGTGAATAAGCCCTGAACTCTCAGGGCGAGCTTCTTGTACAGGAGACTGTGCCCAAGGAAGTGCCGCCCGGTGCTCAGGCTGTCATTTCTTGCACCTGGCAGCGCTGTCGGAGAGTTGAGTGTGGAGAGTTAGTATTGTGACTTCAGAGAGTTGGCTGTTTAGTTCTCCCCAATACCCGGTGTATAAACTTAAGTGCATAAAAGTATTTTAGAGTGGCGAGTGAATGTAGCACAGAATAATTTATTTTTGAGTTTTTTTTTTTTTTCGGTGGCTGCTTTTGTTACAGTATGAACTTTAATCTGATCTTTAGTTTCATAACAGTATACAGTTATGGGTATTATTAATAGAATAATATTGACGTTCCTTAAAATATATCTGTGAATTCTTCTTTCTCCTGTATTGAGTACAGCCCCCTCTTCCCCCAAAGCCTTTTGATATTGCTAAACATTTATAATTTGTCATCCCTTTGTTACCTTAAAGCTAACTGTATAATTGTAAAATATGTTTTTCTTCTGTCACACAGTGCTTCACATGTAGTTGTCTCTCTTGTGAAAAACTACCCAAACTATCTGATTATAAATCTGGATAAGGTAAGCAGCTTATTTTCTTTCTTGGTGTGGAAAACTGTTTTTAATGTTTTTAATGCAATCTGTAGAATATTGAAATTTGTATGGATTACTGTAATTTATTAAATTGTTGACTATCAATTTGTTCCTGTGCAAAAAAAAAAAAAATCAACTATTGTTCATGCTTACAGACCTATTCCCATCACAAACAATTATTTTAAAAACAGGAAGCTTTTGAAGGTCTAAACTTCTGTTTAAGAATTTTTGCAGTTAGATTATCTTTGAGTTGTGTGTGTTTAAAGCTTCGTTATGTCTGCTTGCAAAATAGCTTTTCTTTTGAAATAAATTTAAACTTTTTTCTCAAACTTCCTAGTGATTAGGCTGGATCTGAGTTAGCTTATTTGCTTTCACAAGCCCACTTAATGATGCTGTGTGGGTATTTCTCTTTAGCTCGACTACTGTGCAAGCTTGAAGAATCTTGAAACCGTCTCTGAGAAGGAAAACTACAAGTTTATCCAGGTGATAAAGCCTTCTCTCCTAAGAAACTTGCCTTTTACCGATTTTTATGCTTTCATATCAAGGCCTCCTTTCATAACATGGTCTCCAGAGCTCCCCAAACTAGAAGCTACTGCTTTCATTTATGGTAAAGTTCAAATTACTTCTGCTAATTTATTGTCAGAAATGAGCCAGTGTATGTAATGTGACAATCAGGTGGGCATAACAGCATTTACTTTATCTGTTCACCTTATTAACAGACTCCATATTTCAGTCACAGAAATCTTTGACAATATGCAGTATGTTCTGCCTCTTACATGAAGTAGTCTTTTGAAATTTGATATATTTTATTGCATAAAAATATAGAATTGGTAAAAGCCTGATGATGGAGATGAGTGGTCTTAGGGATGATTGTTTCCCTTTTGATTGGTGGTACGGACAAGATGGACTCAGGTTTGGCTTCTCTCTGCTGCTTTGATGCTATCTTAGATTTTGCACCTTCAAACGCTGCCACTTGTCATATTCCATGGTGTGCAGCACACTCGTTCTGTTAGCACCAGACATCGGGCTACATTTTTGCTTTTGCTGCTGTTGATGCTGTGTAGTTCACAGCTGTTTTGGAACAGGGTCTCATGGGAACATTCAAGGTATGCCTTTTCTTAAAATTTTGCCAATTGAATTAGTTTACTGTTTCCACAGTGTTGTCTTCAGACAGGAGATGGATTTTGATTTATTGTTCAGATTCTCACTGCTGCATTTGTATGCTGACTCTACAAAAGTCAGTACTGATGCTGCTGTCTCTGTGCAGCTGGGCTGCCTGAGGTTGCAGGACACGAGAGAAATGCATATAGTTTAATTTTGTGAAATAACAACTTTGGGGCAACTTTGTCAGAAGTAATGGATGTAAATTAAGCATATCTCTTAGATTTGGGCAGGACTGGGACTTGAACTTGTCCTCACCTGTTTGGTGACCCCCATGGCTGTTTACATTTCTGTGAACCTACTTCTTTATTTCAGTAAGTGATTATGTCTGAGCTATTAGGATAAAAGTTGCATGAAGGCAAAGTGGATGTCTACTGAGGAAATGTGTGTCGTTTTGGCATGCCCAAACTGGGTTTTTGGTTATTCTTCCTAATGTTTTTGATGGCTTCTGGTATGTGACATGAAATGTATGAATGCTGTAGAAAAGCCTCGTTACCTCTCTATATATTAACATTCAACTGCATTAAATGTTTAGCGTGGAGTTCTGGAAGGCATCCTGTAAACAGTCAAGCCCCTCTGTGAAGCAGGGGAATAGGTGCAGGAAATGATGTAGCTATATGGCTTGTGAACTAGAGTAGGAATATGTTCTCACAAAACTTACACCAGTATAATAAATTCCAACTTTTCAGCATTGTTTGTTTGCTTTGTAAGGAAGGTGGATCAGAGCTTAATATGCAGCCAAGCACTTTACACTGATAAAGAAAAAATGCACTGGAAAAAATCATCTCTAGTGGACAGGCTGTATGATTAGAACTGTAAAACTGTTACTGCCCTTAGGAGAGAGCAGGAAGGAGAAACACTCTAGTGGTGCCATAGGAAAGAAACCTGTTTTGGAAGGCAGAGAAGTTTAGCAAATTTGTGTAAGGTGCTGTATGAAAGATACAATTTTATCACAATTTCTGTCGTTGCTTAGCACAGATGTATCGAGTTTGAATTTCAGTTTTTAAAAAGAAGTCAATAATCATAGTCATATAGTTCAAAAGAATGTATGAGTCTGAAGTGTTATATTGAGTTTGCATGGCAAGGTTTTGGTATCAGGTGGGGCTACAGGGGTGGCTTCTGTGAGAAGCTGCTGGAAGCTTCCCCCATGCCTGATGGAGTCAGTGCCAGCCAGCTCTGAGATGGACCCACCAGTGGCCAAGGCTGAGCCCATCAGAGACAGTGGTAGCACCTCTGCGATAATGTATTTGAGAAGCTGGGGAAAAAAAACCCTGTGCAATACCAGCAGCAGACAGAAGAGAGGAGTGAGAACATGTGAGAGAAACAGCCCTGCAGACACCAAGGTGAAGAAGTGGGAGGAGGTGCTCCTAGCACTGGAGCAGAGATTCTCCTGCAGCCCCTGAAGACCATGGTGAGGCAGGCTGTGCCCCTGCAGCCCGTGGAGGTTAACAGTGGAGCAGATGCCCACCTGCAGCCTGTGGAGGACCCCACACTGGAGCAGGTGGATGTGCCTGAAGGAGGCTGGGACCCCATGGGAAGCCTGCACTGGAGCAGGTTTTCTGGCAGGACTTGTGACCCCGTGGGGGACCCAGGCTGGAACAGGCTGTGCCTGAAGGACTGCACCCTGCAGAAGGGACCCACGCTGGAGCAGTTCGTGAAGAACTGCAGCCTGTGGGAAGGGCTCATGTTGGGTAAGGTCATGGAGGACTGTCTCCTGTGGGAGGGACCCCACGCTGGAGCAGGGGGAGTGTGTGAGAAGTCCCTCCACCTTGAGGAGGAAGGAGAGTGGCAGAGGTGCTGTGTGATGAACTGACCATAACACCCATTCCACGTCCACCTGTGATGCTGAGAGGGAGGAGGTAGAGAAATCGAAAGTGAAGTTAAGTTGGAGAAGGGAAGGTGTTTTTAAGACTTAGTTTTATTTTCTCATTATCCAACTCTGATTTGATTAGTAATAAATTAAATTAATTTTTCCCCAAGTCAAGACTGTTTTGCCTGTGATGGTAATTGGTGGGTGACCTCTTTTTGTCCTTATCTTAACCCATGAGTTTTTTGTTACACTTTTTCTCTCTCCTGTCCAGCTGAGGAAGGGGAGTGATAGAGTGGCTTTGGTGGGACTCTGACATCCATCCAGGGTCAGCCCACCACCAGTGTATTTACTGGAGTGTTTCAGTTCTGTTCAGTCATGAGAAATAAGAAAATCAGTTCATATTCCTCACATTTCTGACATACAGTACTTCTTTGAAGCTGCTGTTCAGAGTTGTTGCTTGAGAACTTAAAGCATAGGTGCATTTGAATTATTTTTATATAACTGCTTTGTTAATGAAAATACAGAAATCTTCCTCCCCAAGACACCTGTTCTCAGGTACTGTCTTGCTTGAGCCAACAGATAAATAGCAACAGCTTTTTCTCAGCTTGCATTTACATTTAAAAGCTGCTGTTGCTTCTGTGCCACGCTAAAGAATGCCTTGTGTGTCGATGCCTGACTCTCTTCTAAATATATCAAGTAAGAAAAAAAAAATGATGAGAACAAACAACGGAAACCAAAATCCTTGCAAGACATCCAGCTGTCTATTTTGACAAAAGTGGAAATCCGCTTCAGCTTTTATAATGCCACTAGGTGTCACTGTCCGTTATCTGGACTCCAGTAACTCTACCGTGGCAACTTGTCATTTCAACCTCAGCATTCAAGCTACACACCATACTTCTGATGGGTATATTTTGGGGGTGATGCCGTTTCTAATGTTAAATGGTAATATAGATACTAAAATAAGTTTTGCTGAGGCTGTTGCTCAAAATGTGTGAAATTTGTATCTGGACGTATTTTAGAGATGGCATTGATAAATTGCCCAAAACTCAGTTGATAGTGCTACTTGTATCCTGTGCTTCCTTTGCAATGGCTTGTTATGTGATGCTTGGTACAAATGAAAGCTTACTATTTTCTATTGAAACTAATTTGTTAATGAATTATTTTTTTCCTGTTTAGGGAGATATTTGTGAACCTGATTTTATAAAACAGCTCTTCGAAACTGAAAAAATAGATATAGTCCTTCATTTTGCAGCCCAAACACATGTAGGTGAGGATTGTTGCATTTTTTTGGTGGTATTTTCCATTAATATATTTGTTTGAAATATATACTGATGTTTTTTGTCTTTTCCCATCATATAAGAGAAGGATATTGTTTGTCTGTACAAACTACATGATTCAGTGTCTGATGGCCTTTTAAACTTAAAGGGGTTCACAGCCTTAATTTAAAAAGTGCTTCATCTGGCTTGTCTATTTTCATTGCACATAAATGGTCGTGCCCCATTTTTTTTTTTTTTTTTTTGCATTAACATTTTTAAATTACATCTAGACACACATATAACTGTGTACTGATGGAGTCATGAAGACAAGGGAAAAAGAGTTTGTACATAGTCTTAAGTTTTTAGTTGATTTGGCTTCAACCTTGCAGGAAAAAACATGGTGTGGAAGCTGAAGGATTAGGCATAGCTCCCTTCAAAATCCTACATGGAGTCTAAAAAGACAGAATGAATTACACTTCAAAGTGCATATTTCAGATTAACCCTCTTCAGTAATACTGTTAATGAACAGTATCCCTACCATACTCCTTTCATCATGAGAAGAAATCCTCAAAGAATTCTCCACGAAAATGCTTCTCAAAATTGTCAGATTTGGTATGCACAAAGTCATTAGGTCAGTGGGACAATTCTAAGAATTAAGACAGGTGCTAGTTAATTAACAGTAATAGGTATATATTACTGATTCTTACAGCTGTCTTTGAACAATGCTTTTATTACTGAGCTTGGCCCTTCCTATTGGAGAGGGGAAGTAGTTGTGCTGCTTCTTAAATAAACTTAGATAATCCTATTTCAAATGGAACTGTCTGTAGCCAACAAGCTTTTGCTTCTGATTCCAGCCTGTTGTTGAGAGCAAGGATTTTGACTTCAATTAAGTATAGAAAGTATCAGATAGCAAGGTCATTATTAAATGAAGACAATCAAAGAACTAGTGGTAAAGTCCCAGTCTATACTGGAGCCTCTAATATTATGGCTCAATAGGAAGCCATGTCTTGCTTAAAATTAATCAGAATTGTTTGAAATTTTTAATGTAGATCTCTCATTTTGGCACGCCCTGGAATTCACCTATGTGAATGTTTATGGCACTAATGTGCTGGTTGCTGCTGCACATGAAGCCAACGTGGAGAAGTTTGTCTATGTTAGTACAGATGAAGTATATGGAGGTAGCACTGACAAGGTGAGTTTGAAAGTGCATGAGGGTTTTCCTAGCTTTACTTGCTTTTAATAGTGAAAACAAAATGAGTCTTAAGTTTCCTTGGCCTCTGTAAATGTATGACTTTCAAGCTATTTCTGATAACACTGGAACTTACAAAGAAGCACTGGTTGCTTCTAGAAAGCTAAGTATCAATATTGTCCTGAATTTTTTTGTAGCATGTTTTATATTGGATGTATATTACTTAAAGCACTGAGATTAAGGTCATTAATGACATGTGTATACTCCTCAGAGATAGTATCAGAGAGAATGTATTATACAAGTTTTGCCTTGGAGCATTCGTGACACTTCAGTAATGCACAGAGTATGTTGTTTGTTTGTTTGTTTTTTGTTTTTTACCTGCTCTACCTTGACTATGAACTTGACAGGCAGGGAACTGTTTTATACTCTGGCTAAAATACTAACAGAACTGTAGGTACCAACAATTTGAACAGGAAGCAGTTCCTGTATTACTGGAAGAAATATGCAGATGTATCTTGTTGTTCTTTGGAAATCTTTTTGATTCTTGTCAATTTATGCCTGACCTTAGTCAGGAAATGTAATTGAGCTCAGTAAAAAGACAGTTTATATAAATGCTTGTCTTTCTAAAGGTGTTAATAATGACCAAGGAGTCCTGTGCCATAATCCATGAAAATACAAATGTATTTCAGAAAAGACATGTGCACTTTGTTATTGTTGCAATGTCTTTATCAGTTCCTTCAACACAACTTCAATCTGTAGACTTTTATGATGCCAAGGATGTTGTTTTCCTGCATGTAGACCAGTGATTTGGCTGAGACAGCTTCAAGTGAACTTTTTCTGCTTCTGGGCCTTGAAAAGAGCGCTTCTGTTTAATCTGTTTTTTTTGCTCTCTTTGTGAGTCCTAGTAGAAGTTCTTGAAGAGAGTTGTTTTTTGGGGGAGGAAGGTCAAAAAGTAAATCAGGTCAATGAATTTCAGAGGTAAAGGTCAGACAAGAACAGTGAGTCTTTTAATCACATGTTAAGGTGATTGTTATGAATTGCACCTCAGGCAGTGTAGAATCCCTCCTTCCTTTGGTTCATTATTGCTGGTTTTGGGTTTGTTGGGTTTTGGATTTTCCCCCCCCCCCCCCCCCCCCCCCCCAAGTGAGAAGTAGATAGAAGTTGCAGGATAGCCATGAAGCTGCCTGTTCTGGAACTGGTCAGAATTGTTGCAGCCTTGCTTTGAAGGGCTTTAGGTTGAAATTCTACTTTCCTTATAGAAATAAAGTTTATAGAAAAGGGAGAATGGACCCCTTTTATTTCAGACTGAAAGGTCAGTTAGCTAGCTGTGGTGCAATGGCACTCTGAGGCAATATGAGCCTGGAAAGGATTGAACCTCCTTGTGGCAACAGTGCTTATTTTACAAGATAAAATTCTAAGGGCCTGCTACTGTAAGGTACTCTGCTAGAGTTATAAAAATATGACTGATGGTATTCTAGCTGCTTCCTGTGTTTGATAAATAGACTGTCTTTTGTTATCGGTCTTCTGCTGTAAGTGGAAGGCTGACTTTCTCAGACTGGTGTGCTTGGATACATAGGGATTTTTATTTCGGTTGCAACTGCAGCTTTTGTAACTTTCAGAGGTATCTGGGCAAGAGAAATCGAGTAATGCAAATTTTTCTTTTCCTTTTAGGAATTTGATGAATCCTCACCAAAACGTCCAACAAATCCCTATGCCTCCTCTAAAGCAGCTGCAGAGTGTTTTGTTCAGTCTTACTGGGAAAGGTACCAAGTAAGTTGATGCAAGCTTCAAAAACTCTGAAGTCTATACCTTAGTGTCTGTATTACAAAAATAAAAGAAAAATCAGTACTAGTCCACACAATGCCACCTCTTTCCTGATTGACAGTCTTGTAGTTTGAGTGTCTTGGAGGATGTCCACCACTTACTGGTGGAGATATACTGCAAGACAGTGGGGAGAGGTCAAATGTTTTTCAACTTTTTTGGAAATCTGAACTGTAATGTCTAAAAATATTCTTTGATAAAATGGTCAAAGAGAATATTAGCAATTTAAAAAACAGCATTAAGCTTGAAGGAAATATATTTGTACAGAAAGAGAACATGCAAAGTTCAAATTGTATTAAGACTAGGCTTATAGTGAAAGTGGGAAAAAAAAAAGGAATAAACCCCTATTACTCAGATTTGCTTAAGCAAAAATATTTAAAATTTTGAATACTTTTATCTTTTGTTCTCGACATGTTCTTCTGCAGAGTTGTTTTTGGCATAAAGTTTACTTGAATATGGTGTTAATTGGAATAGTAAGTAGTAAGCCAGCCTTCAGTCAACCAAATACAAGTCTGTAACATCCTGTGGTGGTTCCAGAACAAGACTGATTACACCACTTGTAACTTGTGGTGGTTCTAACAGACTGAAAAGGCTGGAGGCCCTTGCCTGTTTGTCAGAAGTATGGCTACCTTAATAATTCATTAACGTTTGTACGGGCTTGCAGATTTTTGAATAAGCACTGTGGGTGTGTCAGTTTATTTATCGATCAGCAAGAAGCCCACAGGTTTTTACTGGTATATATTTTCTTATATAATCACATGCATGTTTAATGCTCTTAAGTTCCCAGTCGTTATCACACGGAGCAGTAACGTTTATGGACCACACCAGTATCCAGAAAAAGTAAGTTAAACCTATGCTTTATTCTGAACTTCAGTATACCATAATTTAGGGTTGTAGTGATCTTACTTTTTTCTCGTAAGAATGGACTGCCTTTTGAAAAAAGCACTGTCTTGCAAGTATGTTTGTCCACACCTGTGATTCTATATTTTGATCTTATGCTAACATGTCTTACCATCAACACAATGAACACATGTCTTTTTGCTTGTCAATAAAGCATCAATGAGAGATTTCTAGTTATTTACACAAATTTTACTACAATGATTTTGTTTTCTAAATTTTTTAGCTTTTAAAGGATATTTAACTGCCTTGTGTCTGGCACAGTTCCCCTACAAATTACATTAACTCACATGTCATCTGCTGTAATTAGGAATGTTTAATAACGAAGGTAAACATTTCAAAAAGTAAACTGTGAGAGAGCAGTGTGTCTGATACAGAAAAGGATGTTTTAGCCTGTACAGAAAATGGGTTAAGATGAAGCTATAGCAATCAGATATATGGTGAGAAGTAGTGCAGAATGACTTGTTGTTTGCGTGTGTCCATACATACCTTGTGGGGTAACTATTTAAAATGGTTATTAGTGAGAGGGAGTTGCCTTTGTAGGCAATACCAAAATTTGCTGTGCTAGTGAATGGAAATACACTGATGGAATGTTAGTGATAATCATAGGTACTCTTTAGAGTTCAGAGCGTGTGTGAAATACAGTTGTATTTAGCAGTTCTAGGGAGGTGTTTTTTAATTTGAATTGCTTTTTATGTGTTGTTTTTTTTTTTTTTTTTTTCCCCAAATTTATTTTTCCCTACATTATTACAGGTGGGTAAGCAGTGGTTCAGTGGTTTTTAAAGCATGTTTTTCACTGATCTGTGTCTTGGAAAATGTCTGGCTACAGGTTGCATGATGTTGGGAGTGTATTCAGGGGATGTATCACTGTTGCTTTCATCTTGTATTCGTTCTCAAGTATCTGCTTTGACTTACTGCTTAAGAACATAATACTAATCTGGGTGGATCTTTAGTTTTACCTAGCACGTCTGCTGCTATGTTTAGAGTAGTACGTTAACAAAATTAGAAGTATTGGAACAGCTTTCTAATGGCTTCAGTTTAAAAGCTTTAATAGCAGGGTCAACTGTTCTGAAGTTTCTGGGTCGTCATGAATGGATCTATGCTTGTAGCCGAATGTAATATTGTAAATCTTTATGCTGCAAGCTAGTGGCTATCACTTGATCTGTGTTTACTTGAAATTCTTTATTGATTCTCTTCCAAATTTAACTATTTTAATGACTCTTACTTTTTGATTTTAGATTTACTGCAACTTGCTGGATGTTTAAACCATGTTCTAAACTGTTGTCAATAGTTATCCCTGGTTAGGCTCTAGTGCACTTCTGTGTGTGAAAAGTAATGGAACCATTTTCTTTTGTAAAAATGTTATATTTGTAGTGGTCAACCAGAAAGATAAGCTTTCCAACACAGTAGAGGCATCTGCTCTTAATTAAAAAAACAAAACAAAACAAAAAAACAACCACCAAAAAAACAACAAACAAAACAAAACAACAACAACAACAACAAAAAACCAACCAAAAAAAAAAAACAACAAACCACCAAAACCTCTCAGTTTCTAGGCTTGATGCATTCTTTGATTAGACTTAAGAAAACTTAAAAGTATTTGAAGGGTTTTATTGAAGTACTTGATACTTATTGGTGAAGCCCCATGTTCTTTGCAGAATAACAGCTTCTAAAATAGTGTTGTAATGTTTTTTTGTTCAATTCCATAGGTTATTCCAAAGTTTATATCTTTGTTGCAACAGAACAGAAAATGGTATGTAATTTGCTGTTTTGTTTGTGGTATTTGTGCTATAAAACTGTAATTACAGTTATAAAAATACGTAGTACAGTTTGTAAAATAAACAATTCATAACTTATTACATTAGTTTAAGGAAATCCTATTATTAAAATACAGGATTGTTTGCATGTCAGCTACTTAAGGTACCTTTAGATTATGGCTAACAGTAAAATTGCTTAAAACACAGCCTGATAAATTAAATGCTTTTATTTAAGGATTAACAAAAATTTCTTGCCTTTTCCTGGTTTTAAGCTGTATTCATGGTTCTGGACTTCAAAGAAGGAATTTCCTTTATGCAACTGATGTGGTAGAAGCATTCCTTACCGTCCTGAAGGAGGGGAAGCCAGGTGAAATTTATAACATTGGAACTAACTTTGAGATGTCCATTGCCCAGCTTGCTAAGGAGTTAATCCATTTAGTGAGTAAATGGTTATGATGCTTTGCTTTATCAGTCGTTGCACAGATGAACAATTCTACTATAAGCCTTTTGTAGCTCTGAGAGAGTTTAGGCTTACAGTGGGTCTTAGAAGATAATTGTAGCAGAATGATGTGCTACCCTTTCTGTGGCGGTTGTACTAAGTAAGCTTGCTGTACAGGCTGTCGTGCGTTGCACTGCTCCATCAGTTATCTTGACTGGGACATAACTGGCATAATGATTAAATACCATTTGGTAGTTTTTTTTCACGCTGCTTCTGTTTTGATCTTGGGAATGTGGCACTAGTAAAACGTAACAATTTCATTATGAATGGTTAGGCAGTGCTCAGATGAAGAAGTATTGTTCTAGATAGTTTTGATAATTTCAATAGTTTGAAAAATCAGTTTAGACAAAAGACCATTAGGTTTTTTTCTAACAGACTTGAATCTTGTTTAGAAAAAAAATCTTTTAAATTTTCAAATGTAAAGACAGTGCAAGATGTGTGGGGTTGATTTTTTTTCTCTTTGATAGATAAAGAGGACCAGTTCAGAATCTGAAATGGAGCACTGGATGGATTATGTCAAAGACAGGTAAGAAAATAGTAAAGCATGTGCAGGATAGCTTTATCCTGAAGGTTTCTGGAACTCTTGCCATATGTCTTTTTATGAAAGTGCTTCTGATTTGCAGGAGGGAAAATTTTGAAGAAGTAAGAGCTGTTTTGCTTTCTTAACTTTTTATTTTTGCTAGTGGATTTGACATCTATGATCTGTACGGAACATTGTATTGAAAACCAGGATTTCCATTTATTATTTGATTCTTTAGGTCAGAGTATATGTCTGGAAGGGGAATGTGTAATGCTAATCTGGCTGCCTTCAAACTTTCTTCATACTTTTCATTACTTAGGTCTGTTCTGGGAAACGGACAGGTTTTATACAGTAGCTAAATCTTAAGGGTAGTTTAGGTAGTTTTAGTCCTTTGTATTCAACATCACTTGAGTGAGATAAATCCCATCATCTCTCATTTAGCTTTAGTATTTTGATGTTCATCTGACTAGTACAGACTTTACTGTGCTTTATAGGTAAAACCCACTCTCCACAGGCAGAAATACAGACCTACGGAGTGTAGTTGATTTTAGATTCCTATCTTAAGTTGAAACTGCTATCTCAAAAGTAGGTGTAAAACTCTGAGGTGTCAAAGTTAGGGCGGGGGCAAAAATGGATAGCTTTTATAAATATGCTTTTGCTATGTGCTTCCGTCCTTAATTTCAGGCTTGGTTTGGCTCTGTTCTTTTATCACCGTTTCTTTTCTGCAGCAACAATGAGTCTGCTTACTTTAGATATCACTCTCTCCGAGTGATTAGAAATGACGTATCTACTGGTAGCAGTTAAGTATTATTATGGCCTTTAGAATTCTCACTTTCTGTTCACATTTGGATTGTTATCATGGCAACACAAGTGTCTTTAAATATACTATTTTTTCTTTTTTTAAAAGAAAATGTTCTTCAGAATCCTATCTGAGTGTATCACAGGACTTTGAACAAATTGCCTTTGGCTCACATGATGTGATTGGTCAGTAGGTCTCAGTGTAATTCAGATCGAGATGTTCCTTCATGTGTATTGGGCCCTGTCTGCTAATGTTTAAACATAAACGGGCTTAGGAAAATTGACCACATAGGAATACATGTTTCAAAAAATGTTGAAGTCTTACAAAAGATTCTTAAGATACCTGACTAATTATTATTTAATTCTGTAATGAGTGACTTAAAGGACATGGGGGTTACTTGCCATGGAAAAATTAGTTTTGTTTCTGCTTGAGACGAGCATGTTTTAATAATGGTGGTAAGTAGATGGTTTCTGTCTGCACATGTAGTTTAACTACTCGGTATGCTAGTGCCAGTAATGCTGGACTAGGCTATCTAACTGCCAGATTGTGGAAGTAAAAATCTGTGCCATGTTTAAATGTAGAGAATCCTTTTCTGTGTTGAATCTTGCAGCCTGAGATTCTCCATATTCAGTATTACTAAGTTTGGGTAGCTAACAAGGCAGTTTAATGGTAGTACTTTGGAAGTCTATGTATTTCACATCTGAAGTATGTGAAAATTTTGGGGCTTTTAGGATGAAAAATGTGAATGCTGATATTAGAAAACACTGGCTTGCATGTGAACGTCTAAAGAGTTGCAAATGCAGTGATTTGCCCAATTTCATTGGCAGTGATTGGAATTTTGCATTTGTTTTTGTGCCAATAAAATATGAATTCATATTTCTTCTAGTCAATTCCAAATAGTTGACTGTACAAACTGAATTGTATTGTTGTAGCTGCACTCAACTGCTGTGTATTTTTTTGAAGGCAATATAATCTGTTTGTGTTGATGGGGAATTTTAAAAATTGAAGCATACCTAATATTGGTTTGAAGACAATGTGAGGTATTGCATCTCTAATGAAAAGTCTAATCAAATTGTTTTCCATGTGCATTTTATATTTCATCAGACCTACCAATGACCTGAGATACCCAATGAATTCAGAAAAGATGCACAACTTAGGATGGAGACCTAAAGTCCCTTGGAAGGAAGGAATAAAGCAAACAAGTAAGACTGGCTTTTACACTAATTGATTTAGAAGTGGTGGGAGGAGGGAAAGGTAGGGAAATAGGTATATAGGCTAGTTAATGAGAAGTTAAAGAGAATTAATTTAATGTTTTCACTTTACATAGATTTGACTGCTTTTTCAGTAGTGTATTTTCCAGATTTAAAAAAAAAAAGTTAATCACAATACAGTAGCGGCGGGTACTAGAATCAATTACTACTTAATGCTAGAAAAAGTCTTGCATGAAGAATCTATAAAATCTAAACTAGATTTTTTTTTTTGTTTATAATATTATAGGTTAAAATGTTGCATAATGAACTACTAGCATGTTAGTCTTATGATGTCTGTGGAATATCTGAATTTCCCTGTTATCTCTGGTCAGCTTGACTCATGAACATTCTCTTCATACTAGTTGAATGGTACAAAGAAAACTTTCACAACTGGAAAAACTCAGAGAAAGCTTTAGAGCCCTTTCCTGTGACAGAGCCATTTGCACAGCTCAGCGGTCCGTAGGGTGGAGGAAAACCTGAAGGAGTTTATTCTACCTCATACAGTCTTTTCTTGGAAGCCTGCAATCAAGTGGCCACATTGAACTCTTAATGTATTCAAGATATATGAACCACGATGAAAACAGAGCTACAGCACGGCACAACTTTGGAAGGCCTTCAGCACTTTATAAGTGGAATCTGTTAATTTCAGCTTTTGGTGCAATACTATATTCTCACTAGGTACTGATTTTAAAGAACTGTACAGGGTGAAGAATATTTATAGTGCTATACATCAGTGTAACTGAAGTCAAATATGTGTTATTAATCAAGGATAATTGTGATTACAGTTTTGGGGACTTTCAATTAAATTTGTTTTAGTTTTGGAATCATTAATCTGTATTAGTTTGTTTTTTTTTTACAGTGTAATATATTGTTTTTGTCACTGTAAAGAGTTGCGTTGTTATAAATCAAGGTGAAAAATGCTGTATTTTCTGGAGAGTATAAATCAGTTGATGAAAGCCAGATAGAGCACCCATATGGTTCAGTCCTTTTCTCTGTTGATGCAGCATTACCTTCTGTAGATGACTCATTGAACTGTTACCTACTCTGTAAGTTAAATGCTCCTTTTTTAAGGGGTGTGAGTGGGACAGGTATGAAGAAGTAGTAGGTGTTCTTGCCGATATTTCTAGAAGCATTTCCTTAAACTTTGCTCTGTTTTACTGTTTTAGATGTTATCTTTTTACTGTATTACTGTCTTTTACGTGTTAATTTCCTTAACTGCAATTGTAACAAACTTGAAATACCGTAACACAGTTAACATTCCAGTGATGTTATTTCCTGTGATATGAAGGCTATGGAGAAAAATGTTAAACACTTCTTTTCATGTGAATTGTGGGTTGGCAGACCTTATTCAATGCAGTGTTTCAGAATTATTATTTTTTTTTTTGGTGACAAACATTTTAAACATGAAACAATATTCGAGTTCTACTGTAGAGTTTGGGGGGGAAACTTTAAAAATATGTCAGTGAATCTTTTTCAAAGCTGATTTAGTAATAAAAGTTACATTGTAACTGGTTTCTTTTAAGTGAACATGCTGAAGAAGTAGATGGTGAGGGGGATTTTTTTTATATTTTTTTTTTTAGTTCTTCCCTTATCCTGAAAAAATTATCTTCACTGTTTTGGCTTTGAGGTGGCAGACATAGAAGGGAAAACTCCTCATGGTTTTACCACTTTAGCTTCTGTACTTGGCACAGGCCCAGACCCTTCTGTTGCCCCTGGGCAGAGCTGCAGAAGCATAGGACTAGGATGCTCTGGTGTACTCAGAAATTGCTGCAACTTCCAAAGTCTCTCAGAAATTGCAAGTGAACTCTCAAAACACAGGTATGTGCAGAAGTCCATTCCTCATCACCCTAAGTGCAGGAAGAATAGAGCTTGGGGCATTTGCTTCAGCTTTGCCTCTGCTAGAGTTTTGGTAGTAACCGAGCGTAAAACTGATTAGAACTGACCCAGGTAGCCTACAGGTAGTGCTGCCTTTGGACCCACAGTGCTCCCAACTTGATCCCAGTTTTTCTGTGTTGCGTGGTGCTGTTGATAAAATGGCACTTCTGGTTGGTAAGAATCATCTTAAAAGGAGACTAAACTAAATGCTTAGGCTTAGCTTGGCACCAAGTATGTGCTCTAAAGTCTAGGAATGGGTTATTGAAAATGAGTTTTCTGTGGCAAAGTAGGATCATATTACTGTAGTAGAAGTGTGTTGCACTTGTATTTCAGGGGTTTCTGATACCTGATTTGGTAGTAATAAACCTCCATTTGGGGAGGACAGAAGTTAAATGATGTAATATGTACTAGTCTATTAGAATACTTGGCTTACCAGATACTTCAGATTCTACTGATGAATCACTTCAATTTCATTGTCAAACACACATTGCTGGTAACATTCAAATTACTTTCTTTTTTTACAAAACTCAATACCAGAAATAGCTAAGTACTCCGAAGATCTGTTTTAGCTGCATTTATGCTTATTGTGGCAGCTGCTCTGGGTGAGCCACATGAAAGTGTGTATCCTTCACATCTGCTTATGCTGGAATGCTGGCGATGTGATGTGTTTTTAATGTTAGGAATAGAAATTATAGATTATTAAATAATTATTTTAAACCTTACAAATAGGTACAGTGTCTCCTGGAATGTTAGAGATCAATTAATTTGTGATTGTGCTATCAGATCAGAAACACACATAAGAAAGCAGTAGTGTATAATTGGTTTATTGAACAGATCTTTTCAAAGTTGTTTTGAATGCTGATGGTGTGAGCTTTGATGTTTATGTAACTATCCAAATGAGTGGTATTACTGGGAGTGGATTTTTCAAAAGGATCTATTTTTAGTGGAAGCTGTTCTAGTTTATTTAGATGTTTTTTAAAGAATTCATTGAATTCATCCTTCTAAGTATTTGAGATTTTTGGTCAGTGTTCCTACTTTTATTTTTATACAAAAATAAATATATATACACATTTTAAAAATACATCAGTATATTTAAAAAAAAAAATGAACCCAGGAGGCTTTTGCTTTGAGCTACTTTGCTGTAGATCAGGTTACCTTAGCAGGGAAATGCTGTGGTAGGATCATTTCTTTCAGAGGGAAAAGTCTTTTTGCTGTTAAAGAAAACAGCTTATTTTGCCATTAACCTGACTTCTGTAGGAAGAAAGGGATGAATGATTGACTAGTGAACTGTTAATGTGGAGAAGCATAATGCTTTTAGTTTTTATTTCTCACTGGTTTTACTTGCAGAAGGCAAAGGTGGTGATGTAAGATACTGTGAACACAGCGGTCTTTCAGTCCACTTTCCTCAAGGTATGTGTCACAGAAAGAAGTGAGGTTACACCAATAAGAAAATAAACGGAGTAAATGTATATGTCACTTAAATTGCTAAAGCTTTCTAAGGGAGAAGGGCTGGCCTTCAGCAAAGGATTTCTGTCCAGGTTCCATCGTGGACAAGAGGCTTACCCTTGGGAAATGATGTGGGGGCAGCTATCAGTTCTGCATCTCTTTCTGGGGTTACTGTTGTGGGTTGGGTTGGATCTTCAGGAGCCAACTCCTGTAATCCCTTGGGTGTTGGGGAAAAGCAGCATTGCTACCCTGTTACCTCGGTGCATTCCTCGCACGCAGCAAATGGAAGAATCTGGAAGGCGGTGGTGAAGGGGGCAGCTGAGGCAGGGCTGGCTGCAGCCCCCCCCCCGGCGAGTCGTGGCCCCTGGGGCCTCCGTGTCGCTATTGCCTCCAGTTTGCAGGGTGGAAATGCTCCTTGCTTTCTTCCTCCGCGGCTTTCTCGGTCTGGCCTTGGCCCTTGCTTGCTCCCAGTTGTGTGCTGCTTGGCATTAAGGGCTCCCAGCTGTGATTGAGGCTGATGTACATTGTCATAATGTGATGGACTAGAAAATAACTTTTGTCCAATCCCTATTCTGGAGGTGTACAAAATAGCACAGATTTATACCACATTTGACACTGAATCATCCTTCTGTTTTTGTTTAATTTTGTTTTACGTTACCTTTAGTTTTTATTTCCATTTCACCTGACAAAACGAAGGTTTCTAAAACCAGCAAAAATTAGAATAACCTCTTGGTCCACAGTTGCTCTGATTTTTGTGGTAATGTGTGAAAACTCTGAAGTCAGTAGTGTTTTGACTTCTACGCATGTCATCACACATTTGGAGTTTATCTGCAGCAAAGATCACAAGATTATGTTCGCTGCATCAGTAGGAGACATGCTTGTTAAGTGATTACATTCATCATTTCTCAGCAAAACAATCATTGCCAGTGGCAATGGAAAGTCATGAGAATATGAGATTTTGTATCAGTATGTTGTTAGCACATGTCTTAAGTACAATGGTGCGTTTTTTTTTTTTTTTTAACCTCTCCCTAACCAAAATTTTTTGTTTAAGAGATTTTGGTTTCAGTCACTAAAATGCTGCCTCAGTCCTCAGCATTTTGACTTGTGAAAATATGTCAACTCCTGAAGAACAGTGGTTGCTCACAAAAGACTTTCCAAAAGCGGGAAAACTTGAGGAAAAATACACTCAAACAACAACAAAGAAAGTAAAAGGCTCAAATGACAACAGAAAGTAAAAGGAAATACGGGGGTGTATGCCACCAAAGATTCATAGGGCTAGCTGGAGAAAAGGCTGCTTCTTCCACGCTCAAAAAAGGAGGTGTTTGTTAAAATCCTGTGTTACTGTGGAAGACAGAGAGGTTTGGTTTTGATTTTTTTTTTTTTGTCTAACAGGAAGGTGAAGGAGTGGACAATCTTGCAAAGCAGCATTTCTCCTCACACAGCATGCAGGGAGCACGAGTAGGGGATGCGCTCACATCTGTAGACCCATGCGATGTGCAAATAAACGTGAATTTGAGATGTGAGTGCCCAGCACCAGTGCCACATCTGCTAACGTGTGTGCTTGGGTGCATCCCCCGCCTTTGACCTGTAGCCACCGGAATGTGATAACAGTTGCTTGTCAAAATAAATGCCTAACTGGCCAGGTGAGAATAAACTATTTTTTCTTATAACTGTGTTTAGATAGGATTTTTGATTTATGCAGGCACAGAGAGCTTCTCCTGTGGAGTGTATATCTCCGAGCAAGGCGATGGTAAACCGAGGATGGAAGGTGCCCTTTCTATTCATGTCTATTTGTGGTACGACAGCTCTGTACAGAATTTGTCAGACTTCAAAATAAAGTCTCTGAAAACGGAAGCAAAAATACTGCCAATTTAATGCTCCTGAACCCCACAGAACGTTCTAGTTCTTGTTACCCCCCCCCAGATAATCCAGGGAGCCGCAGCCGAAACACCTTGATCCTGATACTAAATGCATGTAGGTTACGGGTACACGTAGTTTTGCGCTGCTGCTGCCTCTTGTTTTTGCCTGAATAACGCTGTTCGCGCGGAGCCGCCGTCGGTTCGTTTGTGCCGCTCGTTTGCGCCAATCAGCGCGCCCCCAGCCGCCTTAGTAGCGCCGCTGCGGCGCCGCCACTCCAGGAGCCGAAATAGCTCAGTTGGGAGAGCGTTAGACTGAAGATCTAAAGGTCCCTGGTTCGATCCCGGGTTTCGGCAAAAACAACTTTTCATTCTTCTTTTTTTTTTCTTTTCTTTTTTCTCTCGCGTTCACGTCATATCGTACACGTCGTTCGTGACCACTCGTGAGGAGCTGGTGGCGGCGCGCGCCGTTAAATGGCCCCGCCAGGGTCGCTCTGATACCTGCAAACTAAGATTATTAGAAAACAGATACCTGTGGAATAGAATTACTAAAATCAGTTTAAGATGTTTTAACCATTTAACAATTGTGCTGCAGAACAAATACTGATATTTTGAGGAATTGTTGGAATAACTGTAGGATAAGGCACTCGTAAATAATCTTACTGGAGACAATTTGGCCTTGTGGTGGCAGGCGTAAAGAAACATAAGAAGCTGCAAATTAGCAACAAAACCAGAGCAGGCCAGCCTTGAAGGACAAGGTGTACGTGACCACAGGACTGAGTTTGCACAGAAGTAAGGGTCAGCTGGCGAACACAGTGAAGAAGACTACGAGCCTTCATCTGAAGACCCCCGACGACCATCTGAAGACTCCAACTGACATGCACAAGAGACATTAACATATGCTAATGAGTTCCCAGAAAAAGTTATGAATATGATAAAAATGCAATGAATATGTATGATTAAGGTAGTATAAATGCTTGTTGATTTCATTCTCACACACACACATTAGGAGGAGCTATCCCCTGTGTGTCCAACACCGTATTAAAGAATGTCTGCTTTCTAAAACTCCAAAAATTGAGTAATAGTGAATTAATTACCACTTTCCGGTAACAGGTCTGCCAGGGCATTTGACTGCAGGGCCTGAAATTCTCTGTGCTACTCAGCTGTCTTACATAATACTACTACTACTACTACTACTACTACTACTAATAGCGATGTAGACATTTCCAGTGCTGAAGTTCAGGTAAAAAAATGCCATTTCACCTCTGTTAAAAGTTCATGTGTTGATGCCAGCTGGGTGATATACACGTGGCGTGAAAAAAGCCACGCGG